CAACAGTAATTCAGTATATTTATTTGCGAACACAGCCCAGCCACCCATAAAGAGGAATACAGTTTTGTAGTTTTTTATTCAAAAACATTGATCATATCTGTCAACCTCAGTAGAATTATTTAGACTCCCCTTCTCATTTCCTCTATGGATGCATATGGATGTTTATGCTGAGAGATACAAATGAAAGTGATCACAGGTACCTCTGCAGTTTAAATGCTGCAACCAAACTGAAGAATGTTTTTATGATTGTTGTTCCTATGAGACACTTTTTGCAGTCTTGCATTAGTAAAGATCTATTAATTAATCAAATTTTTAAAATAGGTTTTATTTCTGCTGCAGAGATTAACAGCCATGAAAGAGTCATTACGTGTCTACTTTAATCCCAATTTTAGCTCTGCCTTTTTTGTTTTGCATTCTGATTCACTGTTGTGTTAGGGTAAGATGTTTGCTCTGAGGCTGCAGCTGCACTCCTGGATGGGAGGTCTTGCTGAGCCTCAGAGGACATGTCTACATACATGGCCAATGCACTTGGAAAACAGCCTAGGTTCCAAGTTCCCATGGTTAAAGTGTGCCTTTAGTTGTACTTGTACTTAAGCCACTTTGTACTGTAAGTAGTTTGGTTAAAACATGCTTATGCTGCTTTCCGGTATCGTCGGAACTCAAAAACGTAACAAGTTGGATTGACCCTAACCTCCATTCATTGCAGCCACAGCCAACACTACAGCCATAATTAACAATAAACACTATGTTTATAATACAAAGCTTAAAACACACAGGTCTAAGTATTGTTGACAAGACTAGCATTCATATTGAAAGGTGTTCCAGTTAAATTTCATTTCTTGGAGGAAGGAAATTTAAATTTACAAAGGGACAAAAGAAATGCCCTACTAGTGTCGCCATCCTGGCTGATGTCTCTGGTATGTAGATTAAGTATTTCCCAATGATCTTCTATCCCTTATGTTTATATCTACATTGCAACAACACATTTAGCTTAATTTATTTAAGATATCCTCATGTCACACAAGAAAGCAGCATGTCTTAGATTTACCTGAGCAGAGGGTAAATCTCTGTCACCCCCTGACAGAGCCCCCTGCCTAATGCATATGCAAGCACACTCACACGTTCACCTACAGATGTTCAGGTCCAGCTGTTTGGGAACGCAGATGCATACAGATATGGTTTAGGCATAGCAGCGGCAGCAGCTAAATACATACATTATATGTATTTTTTAGGGATATTATTTATGCCTTGGACATTTGTACCTGTAAAACCTTTTCTATTTGTTCTTTTGTTTTCTCTATTTATCTCTCTCTCTCGTTCTCTCTATCCGTCTGTCTTTCTATCTATCTAGAATCTATCTGCCTGTCGCTCTGTCTACCTACCTGTCTGTCTATTTTTTTAATCTGATTGGCTTTACTTGGCATTCATATTATGACAGTTAAGCCGGGCATACACTATACGATTTTTGCAGTTTTTGGGCTGTTTTTTCAGTCGTGCCAGCATTTTTTTGATCGGGCCGACTTTCAGCCTGATCGTGCGCCACGTGGTGTACAGGGGGTAACGCGGGGCGATCAGCCTCTCATGAGCACCTCCCAATCAGGAATTATAAGGTCAGGAGAAAATCAAACATGTTTGAAAGTCTGTTTATGAGCGCTACATTGCAGTACAATTCAATTCAGTTTATTTATATTGTGCCAATTCACAACACGTCACCTCAAGGCACTTTACAGTTCACCAGATCATCCAGTCAAATGGATTCAAAGTTTTCTATCTAAGGAAAACCAGTTGATTGCATCGACTCATTAGCTACGTTTACATGCGCAAAATTTCCCCGATCCGATCCAAACCTTGGTTGATCGGAAATTCAAAATCTCCGTTTACATGGACACTAAATGAAATGATCCGATCATGACGTGTGTATACATGTACCAAGCGTTGGATCAGATTAAATCTTTTAAGCATGCGCAGAACTTCCTGCCAAACTTGGCAGTTCTGTCTACGTCTGGTTTTTGGGAGGCCTGACAAACGATGCGCTCGGAGCGAGCGGAAAGAAAAAAGGAGAGAGGAGGAAAAAAGCGCTTGGCAGCGAAATGTCCGAGAGAAAATGTAGAGAATGAGCGATTGAACCGGCGTGGGAGAGCGAGTGGGCTGTGGAGAGAGAAAAGAGGAGGAGGATAAATTCCTGCTTCCTGCAGCTTTATATTAACTTGAGTGTATAAGTCGGCGTTCCTAGACTCCCCCCGCCATGTTGTTCACAGCGAGAGCAAGAGCGACCGGTGGTTTCCTGTTGTTGACAAGGCGGAAAAACGTCACGCTGACATCGCACACATACGCAGTGAAGATTATTTTATTCTTCAGATCCGAATCGGTGTTTACATGGACGCCAATCGGAATGGCGATCGGCAAAAACCACCTCTCTCATTCGGAATTAAATTTAGATCCGATCGGACCGAATCGGATTAGAATCTTCAGTCTGACATGTTTACATGAAACATTTTTGATCTGATCAGGCCTTCAATCCGATTAGTTGTGTCCATGTAAACGTAGCAAGTGACTCGAATGCAATCCCTCACACTAAGCATGCTTGTAGCGACAGTGGAGAGGAAAAGCTCCCTTTTAAGAGGAAGAAACCTCCAGCAGAACCAGGCTCAGTGGTTGGCTCATTGACAAACTTTTGACCATCCAAAAAAATAGCCATCAAAATAATTGGAAGTATAAAATATTTTTTTCTGCTTTTGCCTTGTTATAAAGAAATAAACAACGTTGCTCATCTGTGGTTTTTGGTAGTGTTGCACCGATACCGATACCAGTATCGGACGGGGCCCCGATACTGCCCTAAAATGGTGGTATCGGTATGGGTGAGTACCAACAAATAGGGCACCGATACCATTTTGAGAGCCATATGTTTATTCAACTATTGTCACCCACTCCAGGTAGGCAATAAAAAGTTCTACTGGATTCACTTTGTATTAGATTTTTTCCTGCTTCACAAAGGTAGGCAGCAGCTCGACAAAGCCATGATGGAAATTATTTTACATTATTATGGTATCGGTATCGGCCGATACTGCACAGCCCGGTATCGGGTATCGGGGCCAAAAAATGGCATCGGTGCAACACTAGTTTTTGGTATCCAGTATCACTGTGAAACCTGGTCTTCAATGATAAGGCAATGAAACAAAAAATGATTTCATTAGCTGCGCTTTTAATGTATAACAACAGTAAAAAGTGAATATTTTACTTTCAAAATAGGAGTGTTTTTATGTACAGTATTTATACAGTTATATAATGTTTAAAAATTGCAGTTTAAACATGACAGTTTATTGCACAACACATTTATAAATTATCCCCATGAAACCACACACAAAACAGATGTATTCCTTAATATCTTAACACTTAACATGAAATGTCTTTAGTATTTTTCTTTCTTAAGTTTCTCATTTTTCTAAGTTAATATGAATTGAGGTCCCGTGAGGAGTGTAGAACATCCCCTGAATACATAATTGGTAAAATGAGCGGTGCAACAGAAACAGAGACAGCCTGAAGCATCTTCATCTGGCCTCCTCACACTGGGCAAAACAATCAAAAGTAATTCTCCAATCCAAATGATGTCAAGACAGACTTTTCTTTTTCTTCTTTCATGATGATAATTGGTTATCGTTATAGCTACAGTACAGCAGCATTAAAATTAAAGCATTCAGGTCAAATGTATGCTAAAAATTTCAGCGAAAATTTTTTTTGCTTCTTCAGTCCCTTAGAAAGTATTTGCCCACTTACAGATTTCATCTGTTTTGCTTTACATCACATCTAAATGTGTCAGATCAACAAACACGTGTCTAATTAACCGAGTAGACATAAAGTTTAGGGTTTTGTTTATTATTATCAAAGAAGACTAAAATGATCCAAACCATTATGGCACTATGAGAAAAACGGATGTCCCCCTAATCCTCATAAATGGCTGTGGTTTTCCCACAACCAGCAGTAAAGAAACACGTAAAGAATCACAGCTTATTTGGAATACTAATTTAATTCATATCAGTGGGTTGTCGGACATGAACAGCCTGTTTAAGATTTAGCTACAGTGTTTCAATTAGATTTAAATAAATTTTTTGGTTAGGCCACTCAAAACCTTTTTTTCTTTCTTTTTCAGCAGTACAAAATGTAGACTTGCTGGTGTCCTTTGAATCACTCTTCTGCTGCTACTATCCTGCCAGCTAGAGCTTAATGCCCTAAACCAGGGGTCTGCAACCTTCCATATCCAAAGAGCCAACTAGGTACAGTAAAAGTCATTTAGAACCGCAAAATAATACATACTATTTAACCAACCTAATATTTTGATCTAATGTCTGCCGTAGGGAATCTGTTTCCATCTTAAACAATCAAAACTTTATTGGTATTTTTAGCTTTTAAAATAATAATAATGCACATTATTTCCAAGCTAATTAAAAGAAAAACAATGGCTCTAAAAACATTTTTTCAGATTCTTTTTTATGTAATTCTGTTGTGAAGATTCAGTTCTAATATTCTTTATAAAAACCACTAAAGCTCCTAAGACTGGTATTTGTTATTAAAGTATATTAGTTAGTTTTTTATATCCTTTCTAGCCTCCTTAGGTACCATTATGCAGGGCCCAAAGAGTCACACTCTGGAGCTGCAGGTTGCAGACCCCTGCCCTAGATCAATGGTAGGATACTCTCCTTCAGGGTGATTGAATAAAAACCTACCCCTAGCCATCATATTACAATCATCCTTCTGACTATGAAAATGTTAGTTTTTGAACTGATTTGACAGTTTTATCGAAAAATTTATGGGATTTTTTTTATATGAGTTAAAAGGGTGTCCAACCTTTAAAAATGAATCAAGATGTTTCAATATTTTAATTGCTTCTGAACTCTCTAATTCATGTTTTTCTGAGTTTTTTTAAATTATTTATTTGAATTATAATCACTGGTTTGATCTGGGGGAGGTGATGTATGAAACTGGGCATAATGTTTTGGATCTTCAGATCTTTTATTCTACCTTAGGTTGCCATAAATATGCTGATTAAATGACTAAATAGTTCCAAGGGTCAGGAAAGTCTGAGTGTGGCGAGTTAAAATCAACAAAAAAGCAGATCATTCATAATTACGTATTTTTACAGAGCTCAGCTTTTCCCCTCTTTACAAATGAAACAATTATAAGAAAACTGCCTTTTTGTAATGGATGAGAATATAGAACTTCGATCTTTTTTTTTTTATATAATTTTTGGTTTAAAAAACATTTAGGTAAAAGCAGAACAGCATTACTATGTAAGAGGCTGGTACCTTTTCACAGAACTGTGGGCTGAAACATGAAAACAAATGGGAAGCAACAAACAAACATTAGAAGGATCAAAAGCTGATCCAAACACAGACTTCATTAATTAAATATTCACTCTGTTTACAAAATATAAGTACACCTGCTTTACAACAAATCTACAGCTCGTCTCTCGAAAATCCTTATCAGCATTTTACCCACGTTTTCATCTCCACACCAAGCGTAAGTTAGACACCATATTGGAAGAAATCAATAAAGCATCAAGGCCTTTATCTAACTTAATCTGCTGAGGTTACTTGACATGAGCTGCAGGTGTTCTTAATATCCTGTACACCGGGTGCATTTCAAGTATAACGCTTCATGTAAACAATAACTGAGGGGTGGGGTGGGGGCTCGGGGGTTCAGGACAGAGTTAGGCTAATCAGATCCACGATCACACTTAAAACATCATTAATCATGCTTTCTGCAACAGTTCAATTCAGCCTCTACTTATCTTTGAATGGCCGAATTAGTGCTCTATAGATCACCGTAAAAAATGTCCTATCTCAAATGAGATCTCTTCTGTACGATGTCATGTTTTATTAATATCCCAGACAGGAACATTTAACCTGAATGCATCACGAGACGCATTATATTTGGTACTAAAAGAGAGAAAGTGGGCCCAAAATATCTCCATATATATTAAAAATCAGAGGATTAAGATTTCTTTGATTCAAATTATTAAATAGCTTGATCTCGCTCACCTTGCCAGTGAGAGATTTTACTGCTTTCAGAGTCTAGAAGTTCAAACAATCATCTCTGAGTGAAGCATAACACTGCGCGGCTTTTAAAAGCCAATAGCAAAGGCTTAACAACACAAAGTTACACATCTCTGCTCAGAATGGCTACAAATAGCAACGTCACTCCAAGTCAGTCACATGAAAAACTGTCCTTCAGCTCAGACGTATAAAACGTACTTTAAGTCACGTCTCAACAGATGTGCCGTCCCATTAAATTGGCTCCTGTCTTCGCTGAGCTCCTCGTCTGGCTTTAGCGTTGAGTCATTCTCTTATTAAGAACTGTTCTCTTCAGAGCTCACGCTGGTGCCTCGCACACATTTGGTATAAGCACCAACTACAAAGACGAATCATTTTCCCAGTGGATAAGAATTGGCAGTAGAATTCTGCAACTGATGATGGCCTAAATCCTTTTTCTCTTCGCTTGAGTGTTTTAGAAGTTGAATGTTTTCTTGCTGGAGTTTCTTCGAAAAAGGAAAAAAAAAAGTGACACTGGTTTTAAAAGTCTTTGCTTTGGGGTGCTCTGCTGTGGGATGTGTGCTGTGGTTTGTGTATGTACATTTATATTTATGGGTATGTATGTGTGTGTACACACAGTCAATAAGATAAATCCACAGTTTCTCAGTGTATACCGGATCAGTGCATGTGATTATGACCACACATGCGCATATGAGAGGGATGATGTCCACATCTGAAAAGCATGTATGTTTAAAACTCCTCCATCATGCTTTAATGTGTGGTGATATTACGTCCCAGGGTGGACATAGGAAATGTTCATTCATCTTGGGAATTGTTTATATTCTTGTGTGTATATCTCAGCTCTCTTGGGACATGGCAAAGATGATCTGCTCCATTTTATATGCCAGCTTTTGCTTTTGGGCTTGTTCGTCTTGCTCCAGTGCCTCGATGATCTAGAAGACAGAAACAAAAGTCACATAGATGAGATATTCAGGTAAACCAAGGACAGAATGAGTGCAGCAGGTCAACCAAGGGAATCCAACCAGTTTGGTTTTCAACTGAAATTAACATACTGTTATTATAGCTAAGAACAAAAATAACCCTTTGCAACACTAATTCAGTTTGAATATGCTTTGGGTATTTGTGTTTAAAATATTCATCACTATTATTTTTTAATTCAAATGTACTTATTTGTAATACTCTTATGGTGCCAGGCCTGTGAGATAATGTGATCCTGATTAATGAAAGGGAGAGATTTAAAGTTTTTTACTGTGACCAGCTCTGCACATATTTATTCAATCACACAGGGCCAGGTTGCAAGACATACATAATCCACTAGTTGGCGGTAATGCAACGCTACAGGTGCGATCCACCATAATACCCCCATGATGAAGAAACCAGCCACATGGGTGACAACAGCCAGTGAGGCTGTTTCCGAACGCTCCCCGTTGGTCATGTGACTCCATCTTTGTTCTCTCTCACCCCAAAAATATATCCCATGATGCTTTGCGAGGAGCGCTCTTGCAAAGCATTCTAGAATATACAGCATATGCCCGTCTAGTGAGCATATTTGGACACAGCCTTAGAGTCGACCTTTTCCTACCCCGTTTCAGTTGATGTTGCTTAGACAGCGTATGCCTGATGCCCCAGAATGTCATGTATTGTCTCAATTTTGGGCGTATACATAGCATATTCATAACAAGTCCAGAGCGTATGCGCAACGACAGCCTAAGTTATGCACAACGCACGCCATCTAAATGCCCATGAAATGCTACAAGCCAGTGTCCTGAGGGGGGCAGCGATGTGCCCAGAGGCGCCCGGACTCCGTAAAAAGATTTCTTTGATTGCGGTATTAACCTAGCTGCTGTTTAAACCCGCATAAGTTATGCACAAGTTACTCATAGGTTTTGGATAACCTAGCCGCCACGAACTATGAGTAACCTACTCTTAACATTTGTCAACGATCAGATAACCTACCTGTAACTTATCCCCTATGTATGAGCATACGTCCAGGAATTTTGAGCATGCTCAAAATTTCTCGACATACTTGCCATAACTTATCCAACGTATGCCAGTGTTTTTGCCAGATTTTTCATATGTTAGTCATACACTAGTCTAAAACGTTAAGGTGTGACAGGGGCTTGAGTGCAGAGAAACTGATGCCAGCTAGGACTTGGAGGTATCCTCTGGAGAAGAGACAACTGTTGATAAGTATTTTTAAAGTCATGTGGAGCAAATGAAGGCGCTGTGTAAGGTATGTCTGCGGTCAGTGCCCTCAAAAACGGGGATTACAAATAATTTGTTTAATCCTTAAAGAAATACAACCCAGGTAATGCGAGTGGAGTCTTTACTCACTGTCACTGCTGCCAGCCCACACTAGCAACCAAACCAAAACACCAATCAATCAATCACATCATAATTTGCAGCTATTGCACCGTATGGAGCAGCAATCAAAGAAATTAAAAACTACACTATACAAGAAAATGCAGTTCCAACTTAAATTAGTTGCTTCACCTAGTAACAAGTAATCTAATTCAGTTAGCCTAACTTAATTTATTACATTTTTCAACTTTATAAAATTAAGCTGAACCAATGAAGCAATTTATTTAATTTGGAGCAGCATTTTATTTTATAAAAGTATAACACTAGTGATTTCTTTTTGTCTAGCAACAGAAATTATGCCGTTAAACTGTGTTGAGAAACACAGATTTAATTCCTGTGTGATTTTAAAAATACTTTACCTTTGTTTTGCTAGTGAGTAAATCTTTTTTTTACTCACAAGTGTTTTGATTATTTCTTTGTATTAGAATAAAATATTGAAGTAATCTCTATTTTCTTTAGTTTTCATTACGCTTTAAAACTACGGTACAGTTTAGGAACAAAATGAAAAATCGAGATTCAATGATATGGAAAAATCAATCATGATAACTTTTCTTTCATATCATCCATTCCCAGATACTGTGGTTGTTTTATTGACTTTTACCTTGTAATTAAGTGCATATCTTTAACTATACAAATTGGTTTTGCTTAGTAATGATTTATTGTCACTTTTATGATACTGGCCGTACAGTACAGTCAGCACAGCAAAAAAGCAAGCAAAAAGCAGCAATGGCAGTGAAGGAGTTAATCCCAGATTAAATTATTGATTTTAAGGCTAGACTACAGGGGAAAAGGTGGCTATATTTTAGCAACACAAAATTATCCTTTTCTATCATCATCCGTTATACTAGTACATCTCAGTAAATTACAATATGTCTTTATGATTAAGCTTGTTTATCTGATTAAAACTTCTACTTTTAAAAATAAAAATAAAACTTTAAGCAGGTATTCAATTTATAATTTTCACCAAGCCCACATTTCTGTATTAAACATGTTCTTTATTAGTTAATGTCTTTTAGAAATGAAAGTAAGCAACAGTAAAGTATGTCTTCAATGTATTCAAATTTTGTTTAAACTCTCTTGTCAGGTTCCATCAATTTGTAAAGACAAACATTTGCCTCCCAAGCAGCTGAATATTTCAGCTTCAACTGGTGCAGCTTTGTACTAAATCTCAGGTCTGTGCTGCCTGCAAAAAACACTACTAACACCAAATGAATCAGCAAAAAAACCACTAAATGTTCCAAGATCGTAACCCAAATAAATAATAACCTGTAGAGAAATAGAATCGGGTGTCAGCTCTCCAGTTCTATAGCAGTAAGTTAAACAGAATAATTACTTTTAATGTAAACTGAAATTACTGTATAGATTAGTGACGTGAATCGTACTTTTAGTCTATATATAATTATCCGAACCCCATTTGCATTTTGTTGAGTTACCAGGACCTCACCTCTTGGCTGTACTTGCTGACGTAAGCGTAGATCTCATGCAGGGCACTGAGCACGTTGAACTCACTGGAGTGGAGGCGAGCCTGTTCAGCCAGATAGGCATTCATATCCTGATCACTGATGGCAGGTAGGCGGTTGATGTCTGCGTAGTACCTGAGAGGACAGCAATACACACAAACACATGCACAAAGAGTCTGTGTGAAGGACATAAGCAATGCAGGCTGAAGCTTTTCTCCTCAGCTGGATTCAGACAAACGTTATGAAAACCCAAAGTGTTTTTAGTCACAGAGGAATCCGTATATCAGAGGTGTTTAAGCATGAGAATAAAGAAATGTATCACTCATAAGTTTGGCCTTTCAGTAATATTAACCTTGAATAATAATAAAAAAAAACAACTCATAGCTTTCATACATAAATGATAAAAGATATATACTGTATGATTCTATCCTGTATTAGTATGAAATTAATAGATTTCTATTGATAGTTAGACTTCAGAAATTAAACAAGAACAAATTCAAGGGAAAAGAGTCTCTATGAGGTGTTTGCTACTTTAGACTTTGGAGTTATGGACCTAAAGTTGTAGCCAGAATAATGAAAAATAGTTGTGACATTTAAGAGAACATGAACAGGTCTTCAGGTCTCTGCAAGTCGATGTTATGAGAATTTTAACAAGTTAAACTATCTTGTGAGAATACTAAGATGGACAAACAAGTAAACAGCTTGAAGGGCAATCCAATTTAGATCCAATTAATAATCTTAACATCAGTTATAAAACAATGGCTGCTGTAACTGATCACGGGTCAGTTAGTATTATCAGATAATACAGAGCGATGTTAAAAAGTTCCAGTTCCAGAAGTAGGATGATATCTGCTTTGCTGTTATTATGTCAAAGCTCCTTTTAATGAGAGGATAGATAAAGTCCCAGAGGGAGATATTTTTTTGTTTATGTTTTATTATATTTTTTAGTAAATGATTAAGGTTTTTTTCTGTGCAAAACAAAATGACACATTTTCTAATCAAATAAAGTGAAATAAGCCAAAGTTAGATTTTTAATGGAAAGTTATTTGTAATAGATTGTTTTGCCAGTTTTATTGATGAGGTCAAGGTATATTATTTCCTAAACTCTAGGAATATTCTTTGTAAATTATTTTTATCTTTTTTTTTTCTAAGCAACAAGGGACGGGATATTTGTCACTCTTTTTTCAAAAACACTTTTTTAAATGAATTTCTGCAACTGAAAAATAACTGCTGTGATATTCTATTTCATTTGTAATAATAATTAAGTGAAACAAAATAAAGTAAAATAAAGATAAGGAATTATATTATATTTTCCCTTTCAAAGAGGGTCTAACTTGTTGGATAACTTAGACAAACATTATTGTCATTTTGTACACACAGAGTGTATACAAAACAAAATTTCGTTTTGTACAGCTTTCATGACATTTCTGTTTCTTAAAGTGCAGCAGATCTCACACTATCATTATTTTTTTAATGTACCAATTCTAACCACCACCTGTGCTGTCAGGCAAACTTTGAGGCAAGCTTTTCACTTCAGGATATCCCTGATATGGATCTCAGCTAGGAAGAGTTGCTATAGCCTGATTGAAGCCAGCCGACTGGAAAAGCGAAGTATCAGTATCTCTTTCTATTAGGAGGTATTTCCAGATAACCTTGTGCTGCAAGGTGGATTGTCATGAGATCTGAGTTTTCAGTCTCACAACAAACCCATCTTGAAAGCGGGTCGGACCAATGAAATGCCAGTAGTGTTTTTGTGAGGGAGACATGTAGTAATGAAGACAGTCAAAAGGGCCTTGCCAGGGCATATGTTGGAGGACTCACCTGTTGATACAGCAATTGACCCGGTTTTAGGTAAAACAGAGACAATTTCTCACTTAAAAAATGAGCAAAGAGAAGCACTTTGTGCATTTGTAGATGGGAAAGATGTCTGTGTTTTCCTTCTGACAGGATTTGGAAAATGTATCAGCTTACGAAACGTCATGATTAGCTGCTACAAGTGGCTGAAAGCGTATTGTGGAGAGCTTTAAGTATTGTGCTTACTTGATAAGATAAGATAAGATAAGATAAGATAATCCTTTATTTGTCCCACAGTGGGGAAATTGCAGCGTTGCATCACAGTACAGTAGGAAAAAAGAAGAAGAAGAATACAAAGTATAAAAATATATATATATATATATATATATATATATATATATATATATATATATATATATATATATATATATATATATATATATATGTATATATATATGTACACACACACACATGACCATATCACCCCCTTTCTCAAATCACTTCAGTGGCTTCCTGTCGCACTCATAATTGAATACAAAGTCTCCATCCTTACCCATCACTGCATCCATGGTGATGTTCCATCATACCTTAAGGAACTTCTCACCCCACAGACCTCAACACGTAACCTCCGTTCTACAGCAACATATCTGCTGAAACCACAAAGGACGAAGCTTCGTACAATGAGAGATCTGGCTTTCTTTTCAGCTGCTCCCAGGCTGTAGAACGCTCTCCCTGGATACCTCAGGGCCCCACAGACTGCGGATACTTTTAAAAGGGGCCTTAAAACCTACCTTTTTAGGAGAGCTTTTAATTGAACTCTTCCCCCTTTTTTATTGTCTTTGATTATTTTATCTTTTCTTTTACTTTTTTATTTCTCATGCTCTACATGTATTTTTATTTAGCACTTACCTGTTTTACTATGTAGCACTTTGGGATTTGTTTAAATATAAAGTGCATTACAAGCAAAAAAATATTATTATTATTATTATTATTATTATTATTATTATTATTATTATTATTATTATTATGTACTAAAGGTCCCTCCTTTTCATGGACAGACTGAACGGCAGCCATCCCAGATTGATAACGTAGGACTCAGTTCTACAGATATCAATCTGGCTACTGCAAGGTTAATTTCTAGATGCAAAAGAAACACCCATTTCTTGTTTTAAGATAGCACTATTTTAAAAACACATTTTGTGACACAAAGATGGCCTTTCAGTGCAGCAGCTGAATATGGACTGTCCAAGCAGGCAAAAGGTTGTTAAGGTGTTCTACTTTTGCTTATGTGTATAACTAATTTAGCATAAAAACAGACAAAATAGATAACATTACTGAATCCACTGTAATTAAAAAGTTTGATTATTTCAGGAGGATTTTGTTTGGTTAAAGGAGTCTTACTGGGAAGCAGGGGTAAACTCGCCCACCTTGAATATAATGAATAATACATAAGGTGCAAATGTTTTGTTAGTTATTATTTCACTTGTGCAAACATGCAATCAACCACACAGGTACTCACCTTTCCACCCAGCTTTTGTAGTGCGGGATGTCCTTGGCATAGAGCAGTTTGGTGGAGGGCGAGTCTTTTCCCAAGCGGTGTTCAGATGTTGAACAAGAGTCCATAAAGGTCTGCGCCACCACTGACAGGCAGGCGTCTGTGATGCTGCTTTTATGGATGTCAAACACAAACTGGGGATTCTTGATTACATTTACCCAGAACCGCAGCGGGAGGCTGGAAATGTGGAGAGATATTGACGGAATAAAATGAAAGAAACAGCAAGACATGTTTGAAAAGAGAAATCAAATACTTCCCAAGCACCCAAAGCTCCTTTTGAATTTGGGTTTAATTAGTCCTATCTTCACTTTCATGTTTGAACTTTAGTTATTAAAAAGAAGATGTATATTTAAGCTGTGGTAAAATCCCTGAGCTAAAAGATATTTTCCAAGAACAGTATAAAACAGGAAAAATGCTTAAAGCATATGGTACCAACTCCTAAAGTCACTTTAACTGTATAAGGACCAAACTAAAATCAGGTATATTATGAAGGCAGTGTTAATTACAGGCCTGCATTTAGGAACAATTGATTTTTATGATTCCAATCAGTATTGGTTCAATCTCAGGAAAGCTTAAGTTGAAGTTTTACGTATATATTGTCTAACTTATCAGTGTTAAATAAGACTATCACAAATGTAAAAATTGTTTAAAAAGTATCACAATTGTAATGTAGGCAATGCAATGTAATGTACAGGTGCTGGTCATAAAATTAGAATATCATGAAAAAATAGATTGATTTCAGTAATTCCATTTAAAAAGTGAAACTTGTATATTATATTCATACATTACATACAAACTCATATATTTCAGATGTTTATTTTGTTTAATTTTGATGATTACAAATGACAACAAATTAAAATCTCAAATTCATCATATCAGAAAATTAGAATATTACTGAAGACCAATAAAAACAAAGGATTTATAGAAATGTTGGCCAACTGAAAAGTATGAACATGAAAAGTATGAGCATGTACAGCACTCAGTATTTAGTTGGGCCTCCTTTGGCCTGTATTACTGCAGCAATGCGGCGTGGCATGGAGTCGATCAGTCTGTGGCACTGCTCAGGTGTTATGATAGCCCAGGTTGCTCTAATAGTGGCTTTTAGCTCTTCTGAATTGTTGGGTCTGGTGTATTGCATCTTCTTCTTCACAATACCCCATAGATTTTCTATGGGGTTAAGGTCAGGAGAGTTTGCTGGCCAATTAAGAACAGGGATACCATGGTCCTTCAACCAGGTACTGGTAGCTTTGGCACTGTGTGCAGGTGCCAAGTCCTGTTGGAAAATGAAATCTGCATCTCCAAAAAGTTGGTCAGCTGCAGGAAGCATGAAGTGCTCTAAAACTTCCTGGTATGTGGCTGCGTTGACTCTGGACCTCAGAAAACACAATGGACCAACACCAGCAGATGACATGGCACCCCAAACCATCGCTGACTGTGGAAACTTTACACTGGACTTCAAGCAACGTGGATGAAGTGCCTCTCTTCTTTTCCTCCAGACTCTGGGACCTTGATTTCCAAAGGAAATGCAAAATTTACTTTCATCAGAGAACATGACTTTGGACCACTCACCAGCAGTCCAGTCCTGTTTCTCTTTAGACGCTTCTGACGCTGTCTGTGGTTCAAGAGTGGCTTGACACAAGGAATGCGACAGCAGAAACCCATGTCTTTCATACGTCTGTGTGTGGTGGTTCTTGAAGCACTCACTCCAGCTGCAGTCCACTCTTTGTGAATCCCCCCCACATTTTTGAATGGTTTTTGTTTCACAATCCTCTCCAGGGTGCGGTTATCTCTCTTGCTTGTACACTTTTTTCGACCACATCTTTTCCTTCCCTTCGCCTCTCTATTAATGTGCTTGGACACTGAGCTCTGTGAACAGCCAGCCTCTTTAGCGATGACCTTTTGTGTCTTGCCCTCCTTGTGCAAGGTGTCGATGGTCGTCTTTTGGACAACTGTCAAGTCAGCAGTCTTCCCCATGATTGTGTAGCCTATAGAACTAGACTGAAAGACCATTTAAAGGCTTTTGCAGGTGGTTTGAGTTAATTAGCTGATTAGAGTGTGGCACCAGGGGCCATCAATTTTGAACCTTTTCACAATATTCTAATTTTCTGATATGATGAATTTGAGATTTTCATTTGTTGTCATTTGTAATCATCAAAATTAAACAAAATAAACATCTGAAATATATGAGTTTGTATGTAATGTATGAATATAATATACAAGTTTCACTTTTTAAATGGAATTACTGAAATCAATCTACTTTTTCATGATATTCTAATTTTATGACCAGCACCTGTATGCAATCTTGTACAATAATTATTTGAAAATGCTAAATTTTTGTTGTGCACCTGTTCTATTCTGACATTTAGTCAGAAATTAGTAGAGTACCCCAAAACAGTAGCCCTACTTTGTTATATTTCTACTCAAGCAAAAGTAGCCTTCCAAGATACATGGTGCTCAGGTAAGATTAAAACAAATATTTGCTAAAAAGGCAGCTTAAGCACTAAGTAACTTATCATAATATCTGATTTAAAACTTAAAAATATGCTAAATATAAACTCACATGCAAATGTTGGTGTTTTTAAGAGTGAAAAAAAAAACAAATACATTCAAACAATTTGCTGTATAATCACTTAACGTCACTTCACATGATGCAGGAGAATTTGTAGATACAGTAAATAACATTAAATCAATGAAGCTTTGGTACAGAGAATGGGTTTAACTTATATAAAACCCACGGGTGTTCATCTTTCTCAGGGACGGCGCTAATAGAGAGTCCAGGGGTGGCCTGGGCTACCCTAAGCCAGTTATTGGCCACTCCTGCCAGCTGATTTATTGTTCCTATGTGGACATTATTTACCACCTCTGAAAACAAAAGTTTGCCTCTAAAACAGAGAATGGCAGCAGCAATACTCTCAAGTGAAACTAATATTGTCATGATAGTGCCCCCTAATTTTCATTAGCATTTTTATTCATGTAATTCTATGTTTTCTTGGTTGTTTCTTTTTCATTTTGTTTTATTGTAGTTGTTTTCTAGTTGTATTTGAGCAGTGTTGTTTTTTAGATTGTTCTCTGTTGCACTCGTGTCACTCTCCCTTCCCCTAGCTTCTAATTGCTTCTATCCACACCTGCTCCTTATCAGCTGATTAGCCCAGTCTTTGTTCTGTCTCCCATATATACTCCAGTGCAGTCCCTTTGTGCTGGTTTCTCTTCAATGCTTAGCTCCTTATGTGTGTTTCTCCCTGCAGTTTTGTGTTGCCATCCACTTTTCATTAAATCTGCAAGAACTCATCTCTGCATTTGGTTCCTCAACCAACTTCCAAAAAAATCTGAGAGTATTTACATTTTAATTGCTTTTATGGTTATTAACCATAAAGTGACAACACAAATAGAGCAGTTAATTATTAGAATTAATTCAATTATATTAACATAGGACCAATTCACAACAAATTTAATCTCTAGGCACCTTATGGAGACAATTTAACAATGAAAATGTTCTGACACTTCCCCTGATCTCTGTGGTTAATTCTAATTAAAAACAAGCTTGTTCTTTATTAAGTATATTACTCAAGTAAAAGCAGCACTTCTACATTATATTTTTGAGTAAAATACAAGTATATGTAACTTCTGTATACCTCTGCTTTTAGTGGAAACATTTTGGTCATAATCTCCTGCATCCAGCCTATGTTTTAAAATAAAATATATTTTATGTGTTTGAAAAACCTTTGAAAAGGTCTGGGTTGTGTCTGATTAAAAGGATGGCTTTAAACTGTTAGATCAGATTTTAAATATGTGCTATAAATAAAACTTATGGACACTGTCTTTGTCCACATTGAGCAAAACATTCTGTTCAGTGAGTTGATGAGAGCATTTCATGTTTTAACCAATGAAATTATCTTTACGAGTAAAACATAACGGATAACACTGATGATGAGTAAACATTGACAAGGATGGAAAAATTCTAAAACAGGCGCAAGAAATTCAAAACACATGAAAAGTTATCTTATTTTACATGTTCAAATATAATATAATACTTTGTAAATAGTTGGAAACCTTCCTCACCAGTTGCTTTTCCACGTGTGGCGAACGTCCATATCATGGATGCCATGTGTGTCGGCCTGCTCATCAAGGAAGTCAAACATGTATTTGATGGCCAGAGGAAGGGCGGTACCTCGACACACGGTGCTGAACAAAGTCTCAAACAAGTCGTCCACAAACTTCTGTAATGTACCCTGTAGAAAACATCAAGAGAGACATAATACTTAAGTGTTTTTGCTTCAGCTGTGAAATTGCATGTAACATTATCATGTTTTGCTGGCAGATAAGGTGCACCGTGAGTTCAGATTCACATTACGATCAGAAGAACAAAGCAACAGAAAGAATACTTAATGCTGGAAAAAGATATACAATTTGGTTTGGCGTTCCCATGGTAACCAAGCTATTACAAAAGAACATATAATTGCTATATTAGCCTACAGCATGAAATATTGCAGAGTACATGGCTTAGAAATTGTACACCATGTGTTTTTGATAATAATTACAGGTTTTATTTAAAAAGGCACAAGGCTTACAGCCTGTTAATTAATGATGTGGCTGTTCACTGTCTCACTTTTTCATGACGTTGATGGTCAGTTTCTAACGTGTAGGAGTTAAAAAGCCTTTTTTAACCCAGTCCTGCATGAAGGTATAGGAAGCTTAGCATTATTGGTTTGGACAAAAACAGAATTAGTTGTGAGGGAGGGAAGGGTGAGCAGTAAATTTAATAAAATTTTTCTTTAACAGTATTGCTTTGATTATATAAGTAAAAATGTGTTTTTGTTACTATCTTACAACCCTTTTCTCTTTCTTTGAATGTATCACTGCATACCTTCTTAAGTAAAAATAATTATTTAAATTAATTCATTTTCCTGAGTGTAATATAATTAACTATGAATGTTCAAAAAGTATAACCAAAACTAATAAACCTTTAACAAGTCAGCTTTTATAGAAGTCATTGCATTCAAACCTGTAACAACTAAAGCTTTGTAGTATCTTTTGTAAAGAAATATACTTTTGAAAAGAAAAATGAAATAAAAAAAAAATCAGCATTCATATTCAGATTGCCTTCATTATTAGCAGTTTAAGTGGGTTTTATTTCAAATTTTCTATTTACCATTAAGGCAAAAAATGGCCAAGTTCCTTCTAGAGTCTCACAGGCACAGACTGTACACCCTAAACACAGAATACAGCTAATATTCAAAAGACTAATACACCACTCTAACACTAAGAAGAAGCAAAAAAGTAGGTTTAGAGCTGTATTGATCTATCATTGTTTTGATTTCCCATAATTTACAGACAGACAGAAAGAGGTTGAACTGAAGGAATAAATGAACATAGTATCTTTATCTTTCAATGGGCACCTTTGTTGCCAGCAGCCTCGTCAGGTAGATTTCAGACACCATCTTGCTTCCGCGCTCTCCCTCTTTCTGGTCACCGTGATCATGGTTCTTGACTAAATGCCAAACCTTGACACCGCTCTCCAGATCAGGAGTGATCATAGGCACACGGGAGTGAGGGCTGTCAGGACTGGTGGGGGTGGAGCGGAAAGGGACATCCATACCTAGGTTTATAAAGATGAAAATACCAACAAAAGGCATGTTTGAAAACGATAAAGATGCAATTCAAACTCATACTATGGATGCACACGCTAGTAGTTTTTTTGATGGATATGAATATAAACTGAAGTGTTTCTTGTAATGTCAATCTAAGCAGGAGGGACATGTGTTTAGACTATACAATCAAATACACCAATTATGTTATTTGTTGTCATAGTAACACCACAGGTTAATTACATATTTCTTAGAAAAGGTATTTCTACCCTTCAGCTTAAAATATTTTCTTATAATCCCAGAAATATAAAGGTAAGTTAAAAGTGTTGTACGTCTACGTTTAAATTAGAAAAAACAACCCCAACAAAAACAAAACATATTTAATTTCTTTGAGTATCTAAATATCTATCAAATCTTCAACGTTAACAGTGTTACCATGATTTATAAGACAATTCCTGGATGAATATTAGGTAGCTGTATTAGTTTTATAATGCTGACCATATCTGCTGATACTGCGTGGGAAGCTGGCTGAGGAGGGAATGATGAAAGAGGACATCTGTTTGGGCACCAAGGCCACCACACAGCGATCAGATACCTGGGAGACAAAGATGGAGCTTCATGAAATTTGCCTTTCAGATACTAATCAAAAGAAAGCAATGTGAGGAATTCAAAGTATCATCAGAGCTACAAGACCAAGGACCAGAGTTTCTTTTTTCACAGTTATGGTTCAGGAGAGTAAATACTGTAGCCATCTGTGGGTTGTCAGGCTGGCTTTCAATGGTGGTGTAAAGACCACACCACATAAACACTGGAGCGAACTTTCAAAGGGATCAAATACTGCATACTGAACACCTTTTAAGTACTGTTGGAAAAAAAAACACCAACAAAATGCCATATGCCTCTAATACAGAGGTCTTCAACAGGGGGTCCACAGAGATAATGCATGGGGGTCACGAAAGTTATGGATGATTAGACTTTTTTTTTATATTCCCCCATGCAATGTTTTTCAATAATTGAAATGTTTTTAAATCCACATTAACATGAATTCAACACACTTTAGTAAAAAGATAATTGGAGGCAGAAGATGTCTTTCAGTCATAAATGCACACATTCAGCGACACACAGGAGCTCTTTCAAGCTGGACACCGTTTTATTCACAACACCTGTCCCATCAACCAGGAATCCAAATCAGAAATAATAATCCCAGGCGAAATTACTTTTCTTACATTACTCCACATGTAATAGAGTGACTAAAGGACCAGTTTGATATGACACAATGTCATACAATATATATAAGGGGTCCCTATTCCATCACTCCATCAATATGTGTGCCCTTGGCCTGAAAAGACCCCTGCTCTAATACATACTGCAATCAAAATTAGATAGTTAATACAGGAGATTTTATAAAATTGTTAAAATCTCTGCTGAAACACTGTTCTGCATTGCATCACAGATTTAGCTTAGACAACAACAGGACAAAGATTTCTCACCTTACATATATAATAATATAATAAAGAAATGCTATCCTATCAGTTTTTTCTGAAAAAGAATCAGCTGAGAAGAGAACCAGAGCAATGAAATTCAGTAATATGAATGAAGTGGCGTTGGAGGTCAGTGAACTGTTTAACATTTTAGAAAATATGCTGAAAATGATGAGCAAGTTCATGCTTAATTGATTCACTTTTTTTCTATGAATCCACTGAAAGCATGTTAAAGTTAAAACTAAAGTTCTTCAACTCTCAATCGCCTTTCGCCTATTGTAAAAAATCTCATGATCTTGGCCCTGATGGCTGGCCTAATTGCTCATTCCATTCACCTGTCTAACACTGCCCAGTTGCTCATTTATGAACATCTAATCCACCTGCTCCTGATTCCATTTATACGGCTCAGTCCCAGCCATTGGGGCCAGATTATTGCTCTTGTTCTCTGAGGCCAGCGGAGAAAGGGTTTTTAGCGTTCCGTAGTGTTTCTGATTTCCTGATCCTGATCTGCCTCTCATCCATTGACCATGCCTGTTCCCATCTGAACGTTCCGCCTGAGCTGTCTCTGAAGTCCTGGAACCCTAGACCAGGCTGTTCCTGTTGTATTCAGTGTCCCTGGCCGGGCTTCGGACTCCTGGACCTCTGAGCATTCCTGTTTGGTTCTGTCTGCCTGACCTTGCTTGGACTCCTGCATGTTCTCTGGGGCTGCGGCATCTGGGACACTCTGGGCGCCGCATCTCTTTTGCAGTTCATCGGCTAGATCCTACCTCATTCTATGGAGATGGATTGAACTGTTTACGTTTCTAATAATGGGCCCACCCTAGCTGCCGATACCGCAAATCCACAGCTCACTCCGCCTATTAATAAACGCTTTAAATTATCCCACTGTCTGTCTTGCCTTGAATACTGGGTCCTTCTCTCCTGCAACATGACAGAAAACTAGCAGCTGTGTGCAATAAACAAGCGTAATAACTAATATTATAAGGGATGTTACAAATCTAGAAATTAAAATAAAGAAAACAACTGACTGCTAGATTCTTGAAATCTTTTTTTACTTTTGCAATCTACTGTTGAAGTGATAAATAACCTCCTCCTGGGAAATCTGCCCCGTTCATTTCCTGATACTCCTGAGGAAGCCTCTGAGCATCACTGACCATCCACCATTCTTTCTTCTGAGCATGCTTTTTTCAAGCATATATTCGACTCTTACGCCTCAAAATGTATTACTTATCTGCAGAGTTGAAAATTGCTCCGCTAATAGAACCCCATTTTTACTGGCTGTATTCATGTAGTTGTGAAGCTGATTTTCTCTTATGCCTTTGAGTCAGCGGTGGTGTTCAGGCATGGGGCCCTTCAGCGTTTATTGCCTGCTTTATAGGGGAAACCAAAGTGTCCAATGCTGTTGTCGCCAAGTCTTGGTTTGCATCTATTTTGCAGTTGGTTGAGGATTTTTCCTCTTTTGCAATCTGGTGAATTCCACTGGTAGCTACATACAGATGATGTACCTATTATTCCTTTCATTTGCATGCTTTGCTTCCCCTATTCAAGGATAAAATCATTTTTGATTATGTTGTCTGCAGGAGCTAATGAAAATGTAATTTGCAGTTTCAAAAGTAGTATTAGTATTTGTTTTTATTTAAATATTTCTACTTTTCATGTGACATTTATTTTCAACACCTGAACCTCATTTAGATTCGGTTTTTAAACTATTTTTAGTCCAGAAAACAAGCATTACTTTATACTAGGGCTGAAACTAACAATCTTTGTGCTAATCAGTTAATCTGTTGGTCTTTTTTATTTTTCTTCGATTAATTGATTAATAATCGGATAATAAAAGGTTCCTCAAAGAAGACTTTTTTGCAGAATTTAGACCAGGTGAAACCAAAACTTTTCCACTTGAGGAGTTCTATTGATGGAAGAAATGTTTTTATTTATTTATTTTAATCTTAAATGCAAAATGTATGTATGTATGTATGTATGTATGTATGTATGTATGTATGTATGTATGTATGTATGTATGTATGTATGTATGTATGTATGTATGTATGTATGTATGTATGTATGTATGTATGTATGTATGTATGTATGTATGTATGTATGTATGTATGTATGTATGTATGTATGTATGTATGTATATTATTATTTTTTTTTTACAATTTTAGTATAGTTACTGCTCTGAGTGGGTTGGTCTGTCAGCTATTAATTATTAAAATGTCATTATTAATAATTTATTAAACTATTATTATATTATTATAATAATTAGTTGAAGATTACATAAATAATCGATTAATCCAACTGTTTTTTTCCCTACTTTGTACTGGTGTTCATTTTGATGAGCCTCTATTTTTATTTCTGAGATCTTAAAACATTTAGGATTTCAATGATTTGTCAAAAAGACACTAAAAAGAAAGTTACATTTGTTTTTTAATGTCAGCATTAAGTGTATTCCCACACCTGGTAGTGCATGAGTGTGTTGAGTCTCTTCCAGTCTCCTTCTATCTTTGTTGTGATGTCCTCGTCCTGTAGAACCACACGAGCTGTTCTGCCCTGCCGCCACTCTGTTGACAAAATACATGTTAAAGGCAACAGATTGCTGTCATTTTGTGAAACAGCTTAAAGTATGTCTCACATGTCTAACACATATGTTCCCCCTGTCTGAGATTGAGGCTGCACACAATCCACAATCCCCGAGGTTATATTATACTTGCTTGTTATGTTTATTCTTCAGAAATTTACAAGCTGTCAAACGCAGCTGGCAAAATGTCAACCAGACTGCCTCTTGTCCTTGACAAAACACGTTGGTTTTCTGTGATCTAAATGAAAGGACACAGTATCTTTCCTTGGGCTACCAGGAGCAAAAATCAGACCCATCCTTCCTAAATCCCTAACCTGTAAAAGCCCCTGAAGGTGTGAAACTACATGCCCAAAGCGCTATCAGGCGCTACCAAGAGAGTTTTATTTTCTCCGTGTGAAGGTGCACGCCACCTGAATTTGTGCCGCATCACTCAGTATCAGATGACATGACGTGGGTGTAAGCCTTCATGGAGTTGCTCTGTCAGAAAGGTTTAACATCACTGTTGGACTGTTGCTGTGATTGCAATTGCAAGCAGGTATGTGGAGGGTACAGAGACAAAGAAGGAGCCCTTTCCTGATGTCAAACATCCTCTGTAATTTGTCTCGACATGGGAACTGTCAGGTGAATCATTACTGCTTTGACATCCTGCCAACAGGTTGTGTTCTAGTTGATTTTTATTCAGAATGTATAATGTATGCAACAGTTAACTCACCTAGGTCCATGTCTGACGCTCTTGGTCGTGTAGAGTATGGCACGTTTTTGTAAACAGCATCCAGAATCTTTTCCTTCACCTGGGTAATGGTGTCACAGTTGAGCACCTTTACTGGGATCTCTGGGCTGTTCTCATTGTCAGGATTCACACAGCTTAGAGTCTGGAGGTCCAGGACAGAAAGAAAGAAAGAAAGAAAGAAAGAAAGAAAGAAAGAAAGAAAGAAAGAAAGAAAGAAAGAAAGAAAGAAAGAAAGAAAGAAAGAAAGAAAGAAAGAAAGAAAGAAAGAAAGAAAGAAAGAAAGAAAGAAAGAAAGAAAGAAAGAAAGAAAGAAAGAAAGAAAGAAAGAAAGAAAGAAAGAAAGAAAGAAAGAAAGAAAGAAAGAAAGAAAGAAAGAAAGAAAGAAAGAGAGAAAGAGAGAGAGATGGGTGTTGCTTGGGAGGTCCTTTCATTACCTGCTCTTCTCCAAAATGTCCTGGTGGAGAGCATCTTGGCTTGAAATATAATTTCACACCTCCAGGATGTGACTGTGCAGCTCTGGCAACAGCATTAAACAAGTAATGAGACAGAGCCTCTCACAGTCTCCGACACAGCGATCAGAGAGGTGTCATCTTGTCGCTGGCTGGCTCTGCTCTGCAGCTGAAAGCCAGGGGGGAATTCTGATTCTGCTTGAATAGAGATGTAACGAACAGAGACATGCAGCTGGCCCAGCCGCTTGACTTTAGAGATTAGCATGGACGAAATTAGCAATTTGGCAGAGTTTCTACTGCTAATGATATTTAACAGTTTATAAGTATAAAGCTGCCTTTGTTATTTTAGAATTCCTATACGAGTGTATGCGTGAAACAAAGAAAAGCCTGTATGCTGGATGAAATCATGGTATTAAGAGGCTCTTTTGTCGCTGCCGGGTATTCAGCTGATGCAGTTGTTTGATTCTTCTTAGTGGGACACAATTTCTACATATCAATGTCCCTCTAAACAATAATTCTCATCTAAAATCAGTCAGGGATGGTTTATTTATGCCAGCACCCATTTTATACAGTATTGGTTCATATTGCATAGTTTCTCTCTGTATCCTATTCACATGGCTGTTATTCATCATCTCAGTCGCATATTTTTTAGCCCCTCTAGTAAAAGTTTGCATAAAGCATTAGAATAACCAGTTTTTGAGCTCTTAGAAATGTTTTTTTTTTCTTTGTTAATTTTTGTTTAGTGGATAAATGGTAATGACCCATTTTTAGTTTCTGGAAAAGGTTACCAGGTTGTTTTATTCATTTAAATACATATTTTAAGGAAACATGCGTGCCAAAAACTCTAAGAGAACTTCCAAGGGCCTTTGAAGGAAAGCTGGCTCAAAGCATAACCTCAGCATGATTCTTATCTACACTAATGAATGGTCATGAGTTGCCCCTTACAGTATTCATCCTTTTTATAACACTACAGTCTTATTTGTGTTTTTATTTGTTTATTTGTTTTTCCTCTTTATTTATTTATTTATTTGGCTAAAAAGCTCAATCTGTATCTCATCTGGCCAAAAGCAAATGCTTCCGAGCAAAAACTCAGTGGGAGTTTACTCCAGACATTGTTGTCTGTGTAATTAGGATTATGAAAGGGCTTTCCCTGTCAGGCTTAACAAATAACCGTTTGGAATATTAATAACATCTTATGGAGACTTGTTGATCCCAGGAAACATATTTTAGACTGTTCTCTTTCCTCCTTAATCTTTCTATCTGTAAAGTCAAATTTGGGCACCTGTCCAGCGTTTACAGTTTCAATTGTTTCAAACGTTTTAATTTTAGCTTTGACTTTGAGGTTTTTGCACTTTCTAGCCACGTACTTTCTACCTTGTGGGGACCAAGGCAGGTCAAATTTGCAAGAATATGCTACTGTGTTTGAACTGACAGGATATTTTTGAGGAAAATGTCCTCATGAGGAAAGGCTGTATTCTTATGTGCGGGGTTTAGGTTTAGGATTAAGGTGCAAACTGAGTTGAAACTGAGTTTGAAGTTGTCTGGGTGAGGGTCTGGGTTAGGCAATAGAAACGAATGGGAAATGTGTGGCATGTTTTATCTATAAATCAGGGAAGCAGGAAATGGTGGGTAATAGGTTCAATACTTCTGGATACATCAATTAATTTTTGTTAAACTTTTAAAAATATTTATTTTTGTCATTTTTAGGGTAATGTTATTATACCATGAGAATGGAAATGCTTAATTGCCTCATCAGCCATTTTACAGAGGGGTGATAATTGCAGACAACATTGCAGTGGGTTGCTCTAAGTTTAAGAGTGTTATAAATTGAAAGCATAACTTAAAAAAAATTTAAACAAGTTAAAGAGATATTTTTAAAGATTAGAGTTAACCCCTTGATGCCTGAATTTATACATATAAAGAACATTTTTTTCCTTTAAGTAGTTGACAAATAGAAATGTCTAAACTTTCTATTTGATTTACAAATAGAAATTTACGAAGTTATGACAACAATTAGAATCTAATAGAATAGAATAGAACTTTATTGATCTCACAATGGAGAAATTCACTTGTGAGATTGGCTCTTATAAAGTCTTATAAAAAACAGTAGGTGCACAAAGGAGGAAAAAGGGCATGAAGTTTATAAAGTACATCTAGATATATACAGAGGATGGTAAAAAAATAAAAAAGAGATTTAGGGTGTCTTATATATACAATGTTTATGTATAATAGTCTTATGTACAGTAAAGTGGTGGCAGGTAAAGTGTGGCTTCTGGTTTGTTAAATAAATCAATATTGTAAGTTATTGCAGTATTATTATTATATTATTAGTAGTATTATTAATAATGGTCAGTGATAAAATAAGCTGTAAGGAACTAGTTGTGCTTGTTAAAGGTTCCCAGGTCTACAATGAATGTGTGGCACAGGAGGAACTCCCATGCTATCCTTGCTGTGTACATAATACAAAGGCTTTGTTGCCTTTATGCAACAATTGGTGTGAAGGGGTTAAGTTCATTTGTCTTTAGGCCAAAATCAAATCAAAGTGCATTTTATATTTTCCATCAGTTTATGATCTGTAGAGATATTTACATAAAAAATGATCTGAAACTGTAAGGGGTTATTTGGCAATAGCCCTCCAAATTTATGCAGACTAAATTGACAACTTTGCTTTATGAATGCATTTGTGACTCACCAGAGTCTTGTATTCAATCTGCTGCCGGATGAGTTTGTCTTCACTGAGGGAATATCTTGCCTCCCCTGTGATGGAGTCTATGGGTCCCTTCTCCATTTGCTGTTTGATGGCACAGAACAGCATGAACAGGGGTTCGCCAGCGCACTCCTTCGTTTTGGAAGGAAACCAAGAAATTTGATCAAAAGGAGAAAGGAGACAGAGAAGGGATGTGAAAGAAAACAGATCTCTACAGTATATGTCAGCAGATGAGAAGAGACCTGCTAATCTGAACACCACGAATCAGACAAAGTAAAGCTATTATGAGGAAAAACTTGACCTCAAAGGTAAAATAACCCTTTGATTGTGTGAAAAAAATGGCAGTTAAAATTGTAGCTACCACAAGAATCCAAAGGAGTCTATTTAAAACGAAAATCAATACAAATCATCTTAAGGAGCCCATAGTACATCACAGTGACACTTGTAGCAAAAGAACAGAGAATGACTTTGTCTTACCTTGAGAAATTTGTGAAGCAAGAAGGCAAACCAATTTGTCAGCATCTTCTCTGCCACCGACTCTGTTCTGCAAGACGGGAAAGAGGCAGACTCGTTTATTATCAGGAGACATCCCACATAGAGCTGGAGTGCTCTGATTAGTTTTCCATTATCTTAAGACTGCCTGTGTTGAAACTCACAGAACTAAAAGGAAGATTTTAAAACATTAGCACTCAAACATTTGGCCTCGGTGGAAACTCTTTGCTGTAACGTCCAGTTAGTGCTGCCAGTGCACAACATGGATGGGTGTGACATAATGGTGATGACTAAATGACTACTTCAGATGCCTCATACTGTTTTTTTCACAATGTCTGCTGTTAACTTCTTTGCAGGAGTCCAGTTTGAAAGATGACATGATTTACAGATAAGCCAATTTTTTTCTTTTATCAACATCAAATTTGAAGCTTTTCACACAGCAGCAACCCTCTTCCTTTTATCCACCACTTTTTGACCCCTACCTGCATAACTTCCTTAACCTGAGCACCATTCAACTTTTTGTAGGAAAGTTTTTTGTTGAAGAGAGGTAAGTTTGGACAAAAAACTTCTTCTGCCAGCTCCCGTTTGAACTCATCCTTATATATAATGAGTGTGAGCACAAGTTTTCTCCCCTCTAAAGTCTCATGAAACATTCAGCACAGCAAAAAAAAAGGGAACAACAAAAAACAAACAATCGACAGATAACTTGAGGTGGAGCGTAGATGGAAAGGGGCGAGAGAAGGGAGAAGAGGAGAGGTGACGGGGAAAGAGACGTGAGCTACAGCTGAATGTTTCATGAGAGGGTATACAGAAGATAAGTCAGACTGACAACAACTCCACCGCCGCTGCACTCACTCTTCCCCATTACGGTCTCTTTCTCTGCCAGTCCTCCCATTCTCTATCACTCTTAACACTCCTGTCTTTCACCTGTCTGCTCAGTCGCCCTTTTCCTCAGAATTGCAACAAAACGAAGCTGAAGAGAGGTCGACTTTCTTACTGGCCTAGTTGCTCAGCCATCAGAACAGTGGTAACTGGGCTGGAAAGAACAATGCAAGGAGGAATTAGGTATGGTAGAAGATAAGCAGTGCTGATCGGGACAGGTTGAGTTTCTGTCAGAAAGTGTTTCTAGCTTATTTTCCACTGACTACAGCAGAAAGCTACAGTTCTGTAAGGAGAGAGCCCAATCCTGGGTGAACAGATACAAACCATGTTAAACATTAAATCTTTACATGATTGCACGTAAAGGTTTGGGTTTCCTTGGCTTCATAAAGATTTACTTTAAAGGAGCTAACTGCATGGAGATTAAGTTATTAACACTGAATAATAAATGAAATATTGTGTATAAACATGTCTTTTGAACTTGAATGTACATCACCGCCTTTCTGGAGGTCACTCCAACCCAGCTCACAGAACCGTCAATTCAGTTAAAGTTTCTATGCATCCTAGTATGGATACTGGGTGGGTGGTTCTAGGCAGGGGTAGACAGGGACCAGTGCCCTTGTAGAACTGGCCCTGCCCCTGTTATGGCCCCTGTACAGAAAAAACATCGTACAATGATATGTCCTGGAAAATAAATTTTTACTTAAACTGTTTTACATTAACTGCGGTTTAACAACTAAGATGTTGTACTTTTAGCTTTGGTCTCATTGAAATAGGATCACAGTTTTTATCTGCTAGACCAGAGGACTGTAAACATGCAGCTCTGGAGCCACAAGTGGCTCTTTGCAAAGTAGCTCACTTAATATATTAAACTATAACTATTGGAATGTTTTTTTTATTATTTTTTTGTTTGTTTTGTTGTAATCAACTGCGTTGTTGCCCCATGAAAAAACCCAATGTTGGTATAGAACTGCCACTGCAGCCCTGGGTTTTAAAACATTAGAAGTATATGACTATTTTAAGGTCTTTATATTGAGCTGGATTTTTTTTTTACTGTTTCTTTAAAAATCTGACAGTTTTGTTTTGGTTAATACTGTAACCCAGAAAGCTTTAGAATAATTGCACATACATTTAAATACAATTGCTGACTGTATTAAGGTTTGAGTGTTTGTTTTATGCTATACCATGATTACATACCTGGTACTAACATCCCGCTCTCATCAACAGTTAGTAATCTTAGTGTAAAAATGGACTCCCAGGTCACTTTTCAAGCCAATATAAATCACTAAATCACACAAGACCTCTTTCTACCACCTCCGAAACATTTTCAAACTCCATCGCATTCTCTCCTTCCCAGATGCCGAAAACCTGGTTCATGCATTTGTCTCCTCCAGACTGAACTATTGCAACTCACTTCTCATTGGGATCCCTAGAAAGAGTCTGCATAGGTTTCTGTACATTCAAAACTCTGCAGCTAGGCTCCTGATGAGAGTGAGGGAACATGAGCACATTACCCCCATTTTCCACTCATCACAGTCGCTTTCCATCTTCACCAGGGTTGCATACATGGTTTCCGTCCTCACACATTAGTGCATCTATAGCATGCCGACCCCCCTCCGCCCCCCCAAAAAAAATCAACCCACAGAACGCAGAGTGTTTTAAAAAAAATGTATTTTTAGCAAATCTTTTTGTCCCCTTCAGATGTTTTTCATGCTTTTTTTCTCCTCCCTTTTTACCTGTAGCACTTTGAAATGTTTTGATGGAAAATGCAGTATACATTAAATGTATTATTATTATTGTTATTTATTACCTGGAGTTAAAAGCAAATTAATAAAAATAATATGAGTAACAATATCCCTTATAAGACCAAAGTGATAGAACATTGTCATTTGTAGAGCTTAGAGATTGTCTAATCTCTAGCTTCACCTGCCTTTCTGCCTTAATCAAACACCTCTCTTCTGATCCATGCTTTGTCCTGCCGAGGCTACCATCTAGTGCTGAGGAAGTTAATGGATTTCCATTTCCTTATTAGGATGAGGTACCAGAAATCTGAATTATGCCATGCATGATCCTTTCTGTATAGCTTCTGAGAAATAAATATATTTTAGGTCATTCTTAAACTTAAATCAGTTAATCATTTGAACTTTGAGTCCTTTTCGCCTGGTTATTGAATCATCTTCAATAGCTTAAAATAGTGTTGTTTAATGTACAGTGGGGCAAAAAAGTATTTAGTCAGCCACCAATAGTGCAAGTTCTCCCTCTTAAAAAGATGAGAGAGGCCGGTAATTTTCATTACCGGCCTCTCTCATCTGTAAGATGGTTGTTTAATGTTTTTATTTTGTTTATAAATAAATGAACAGTTATTAGTTCAATTATCAGATTATCTTAGGTACATAAAAAAGTATGTTACAAGGAATATACACACTCCTCCAATATCATTTTAGAAAGGATTGCTCTGGCAATATGAGTATTTATTTTTTAGATAGGGTTGATAAGTTCTAAGATGGACTGATATGTAAACTTTCTCAAAGGTGAAAAGCATCTTGATATAAGCCAGCTTTTATGGAATATGAAGGATACCTCCTGAGGAGCAGTTTGGGGTGGTTCTTGCTCTCAAGGTTGCGCTCTATAAGGTCAGAGAGCAGGTGCTTAAGGATGTCTGTTGCATACTCCAATCGTCCTTGCAAGGCGGTCATGATGAGCGAAGCTACGTAGCCCCGGTCACGCATGGAGAAGGAACGCTGCGTCTCCAGTGTGCGGATGAAAGTCAGCAGGAAAACTTTGTTATTCACCAGCTGAGCAAACTGCTTCAAGGCTTTCTCCACGCTGGCCTGTCCAGTCCCAGGAACCTGCATGTATCATGCATAGTTGCACACACAAAGAGTCATACACACATCAGATAGTGCATGCTGAAGGGTGAGTCAGAAAACAATAAAAACAGAATGAAACAGGCATGACAGATTTCCCACACCACCTTAAACAGGAAAGTCCAAACAAGAAGGACTGATCTGTGCTTTGCTTAAAGTTAAAAATAAAGGAAGCAGTAAATTTCTCTTTCATATCTTTGTTTCAAAATGTACAAATTGTAATTTTTACCCTAATTAAGGGCGTTTGCCTTAAACAAAATGAGGTGCAATCAGTGAGCTCCTTAAGACTACATGTAAGTGTGAGCATAATAAGGGCTGATTAAAGAAACTCAACTAACTAGTTTTGACCTTGTGCAACTTTTCTGCAAAAAGGCTGCATTAATTTTCATCATAGCTTATTCAAAAATGAATCTCAAATACTTCAAAATTAAAGCCCTAAGATGTAGACAACAGAAAAGGATTTTTCAAAAAGCATTTTCTAACAAACAGCAGAGGTGCAGGGTGGCAGAAAACATCTAACATGCCATCATTATAAGTTGCTCAGCCTATTTAGAGGGACATGATTAAAATTATATTAAAAAATTTAACATTTTTGCAATTTAAGGCGTAAGATCAGCATATTTAAACTGTACTGTAAGTGCAGCAGGAGCTGCAGCAGAGGCTCCTCACCTCCAGCTCCCTCAGCACAGGATGATCATCGATCCCTGGGAAGAGAACCCTCATTGCATAAGTGCGATAGTCCAGGAAGGGGATGCCAGCTCTATCAAGATCACTGGTTAGCTCATTGATGTCCGTCTGCAGCTCAGCAAACGCTGCACAAAAGACAAATTTGTTAAACAGTCAGCCAATTTCTGTCCAACTTTTAAATGAAGAAGCAGTACCTGAGAACTGCCTAATCGTAATAATGTACATAGCCATCCCTGGTGATTGCTTTACCTTAGAGCTCCACCCATGTATAAACACCTGTAGTATGACTTGTACTCTCCAAATAAGTATATTCCCAACTTTGATATTGCTTTCTATGTTAAATGATAAAAAAAAAAATTAAAGAATTTTCTAGTACAATAAAAAAAAGGTTTCCGGGGTTAGTCTGTGTACTCTTTTATATTCTGCTACTTGTTGGAAAAGTGGTGAATCATCTTCTTTTTGAAATAAGTGTTGGATCTCAAACATCACTCACCCTCTTTACACTCAAGAGCTACTCTTGATTCCAAATTGTCCATTTGCATCTGTAGGCGCTTCAGAGTGAGGTCATTCTCATGCGACTTTCGTCTGTAGGCGAGCAGGACGATGACGACAATGACGAGGAGCAACCCTCCACCAGCTGCGATGCTTAGAATAGCGGGCATGGTGAGCAAGCTGTCTGATCGGATGTGCACCTCTCCAGGAGAGATGTGCAATCCACCTACTTGCACCTGTTAAGAGAAGAGAAAGAAAAAAAAATGTTTTTTTAATTGACAAACCAATTGCATCTCCATAAGAATATTAATAAAATATATATTTTTCTACATCTAGAGGGATAAAGTGTAACAATTTCTCTTTTTTAACTGCCTGAATTCGATGACTGACTAATAATCAGAGAGAAGAATCATAAGAGAAAAAATTTATATTAGTTTATGCATAAGGCTGGTTGCCTGTTTGTGAAGCGCTATGACAGTCTGCCATGTTGAACGTACAGATGCCGGTAAGGGATAAAATATGAACAAGGAAAACAAAAACTTGTTGCACTTTTGCTGGCAGTTCAATGGGATTGAGAAGTGGCGGTGAAGATCATCTGGTGACACTAACCCAACTGCGCTACTGCAGCATGATGCAGGATCATGCATATGCAGCAGCAGAGAAACGGTTTCACCATCCCCAAGAAGTGATAATGATGTCATAAGATGACAAAACCAGAGAAATTAAGAAAAAAAATGCTGATAAATGCCGAGCAAGCCTCCTCCAGGTGGAAGGAGCTAATGAAGGAGAAAGATTTTAAAAATGGACACCAAAGTTACTAAGTTTCTCCTACAGTTCACATGTAAGTTAAGTTAAAGTTTTCCTCTCAGTTTATTTTGTCAGTGTTTCTCGTTACCATATTAAGCATAACAGTAGATCCCACAAATGTATACCAATCATGTTGGTACAGAATTGTAGGTGTAAATGCTTTTATTAGCTTTCAAAGCCTTTTTGTTCTATTAAATGCCAGATTGTAGAGATTTCACTTCACTTCGGGTGACATTGTTAAATCGGCATTGTCAAGACTCTTTGAGACATGGAGGTTACCCTTGCCACATTCTGGGTTTGAAGCAGTGGTTTCAGTGTTCATTGGAGTGAAATCCTTTAACCACTAGATGGCAGTGATTCCTGCATACTACCCCTTTAAAAGAATCCTTAACTACAGAGTAAAGTAACTCAACATTTTTCCAATTAAAAGGGTTTTGAAAAAAGGAACAATATGTTGTGGTCCACACAATCATGGGCATAACTGGTGAGTTGTTATGTGTCCAGCAGATTATATCTAAAAGCACCACTAGGAAGGTAAGAGTGTAACGTTAGAAGGCAGGGGTGGAATAGATTTAGTTGAAGCTGAATCTGCCGATGGACCATAGCATAATTCCTGCAGAGTTGGAAAGCTGCCCCCTGCGGCTGTAAAGGGCTAAGTACAGCGTCAGACTTGTGAGAACCCTGAACTCAGCTGACCTAAACCCCACGGAGAATCAGGGCCCCTCAGTTCCAGTCCTCCAGGTTCTGTAACCTGAAAGTAACTTACTGGTATATTTTCAATTTGTCTTGCCTGCAGCACAATTAAAATAATCAGGTCATTTCCTTTGTCTTGAGAGCTTCACTATGTTCTGAGGAGGTAATTAGCTGTTTGTTTAGCTGTGTTAGGTCTGGGAAACATCTAGTTCAAGGCGACCCATGCCCTTCACCACTGGATTTAAAGACCACTGGCATAAAGTATTGCAAAAAGGAAGAGGTGACATAAAACTCTAAACTGTAGATGAGTTGAAGACCACTCAGCAGAGCCAGTACTGCTCACACAGCACACAGTACTGATTCACTAATTCATACAAAAGGTGCAGAAAACATCAACAATCTCTGGATTTTAAACTTTTTTGGGGGGGGAAATGAACACATAATATGTAAATCTAAATTTTTGCCTTTCATTTGCAGTAATAAGAAAAAACATTCCTAACATTTATGACTTTGTGTCTAAAACAGCAGGAGTGTGCTGTAGTACACCCGCATAATGAAAAGTTGTGTTGAGGAATTAAAAGACCTCATCAAGTTTACTTTTGTCCTTTTTTTAAAGGAGCATGAGCTTACTCTTCTCTATTCAGCTCTATTGTCATTATTTGCTCATTTGTCAATAATTCCAGACGACAATGCGTCGTAACGGGGAACCTACCAGACCATGAGGGACAGACAATGACAGAAAGCCAGAGACTAACTGAGAGCCAGCCGTTGACCCAAAAACACCATGACGTAAAGAAGACCACTGACCTACAGAGAGCTACTCACATTGATGCGGAAAAAAGGACAAAAAGAAAAAAACATTATAACATAAGGTTAAGGTTGACATTAAAACTCACCAGGACTTTATGCTGCCCGGTGAGGTTTGGTGGCTCGCAGAGCAACTGAGTGTCTGACACAGTGAGAGAACAGGGAGTATCTCCGATCAGCACAGTGTAATTCAGTCTGGCTCCACCAGAGGCAGATGGCACCAAGTTACGACCCTGTAAAGGAGTTAAGAGAACCAGTCAACAACACTAAATCTCTATTCTTTAATGCATTTTGTTTCTTAAGAACTACTTTAGCTGGAAATCTATCAGCAAACCTATTTAAATCCAAGTAGATTTACTGATTATAATTTAATATGTAGCTGAACCACAACACCTGCAATTATATTCATTTCCAATAAGCTTTTAATGTCCAACTTTCACCAAACCATCAAATACAATTTTAAAGCATTATAAAAATTACTGAAGTCATCTGGAAGGAAAACTAGCAGTGGGTTCATGTAGTAAATTGTACGTTGACAGGAGTTAAAATGTGCCAATTTCCAATTTCCTTTAAGACTCAGGCTCATATCTTATGCTGTTCCTGCAAGTCAGACAATTCTAAACATATCTAGCAGTGGCTCAAAGAGTAACAAAAGCAAACCGGGAGGAAAATCCCTGAAAAATAAAAGATTGATGTGTATTTTTGGATAAGAATTTTGCCACTACATTATATATATATATTTTCTTTTTGCAACAATGGTGATACAAGCAGTCAGGAGCTCAATTAAATACCCTCATCTAGATGTTCAACATTATAGCTTTTCAAAAAGCTAATGCTTTGGCACATCTATATTGAGCTGACATTGAAAACTAAGCCCTGTAATTCTGTGATCATGTAAAGGGAGGACTCCTCTCGCTTACTTTGAGAATGATGGGAGCTCCAGGTTTCTGCTCCAGAACACCTGAGAGGCTTAACGGCTCCAGGTATGGGTTGGGGTAGTAGACAAAGCCTGTGCTGTTGTAGGTGAGCAGAGCCTGAACGTTATTGAAGACAAAGCCAAACTCATCCACGTGTTTTATGGTTTCCTGGTCGGCATGGTAATCCGCCTTCAGAGAAGGGGCAAAGCAGCTGATGGTTGTTGTGTTCAAAACTTTACACACCTGCAGAGAAATAAAAATAGATTTCCCACTTAATCCCAATAGAAGATAACACACAACCTGATCTTGTAAGTATGTTTTCATGGAAAATGTTCACTCTCGTGTTTGGTGGTGTAACAAGCACAGAAACCTCTGAAATGACCTTTCATCTATTTTAGCTGGTCTGCCTCAGGTCGTTTCAAAATGTCATCGCTGGACATATTTAAGCACCTTCCTATCCACGCTGACAGGATCCCGAGGTCAAAAAACATGATTAGTATAATGCTTTAGGGCTTGCTATGCTCAGGAAAACAGTTGTAGTGCCTGGTAAAAATGTATTAAAAGTTGTTGCTGTTTTTATAATTCAATATAAATTAAACCCTGATCCATTTTATCTATAATCATTGGAAATGATCATGTCAATTAATGTGGATCTGAGTTTATACAATCTGAAAAATGGTTAAAACTCAAAACGTTTTGGTTACCTGGTAAAGTTAAGGTAGAAATATTTTTCTGCACACCAAAAGTAACTGGTTTAATACTTGTGCCAATGGTGACAGCACCCTTCACATCTTTGGGTTCATGCTCTGCTGGATTCAAAAAATGTGATTCTCTGTCTGCCAAGAAGAGAGGGACGGGATGGGACTACCTGCCAGCCAAGGTTCTGCTAAAATAAAAAGACGGCTCCTTAATCAGACCTATACAGGGTTGTTCAATCCCTTCTGGTACTGGACAAAAGGTGACTAAAATAAGTATTGCCCCCAAACTGCCCTTTTATGTAAAGTCAGGGTTGAAATGATAGTGAATATAATGCAACCTTTCAATCATTCCTAGGGGGTGGCTGGTCAGTAACTGACCAATGTGTGATTGCAATTTGTCCCATTGAAATGCTCCTGACCTGCAAGAACTGAACCTCTTTTTCTGTTGCCTAACATTACAGATGTAATAACAAACTCATTGTAGTCACAGGTATATCATTAAGAATAATTGAAAATAAGGGCTATGTGTTACATATCATGTGTGATATGTGTTACCCCAAATGTTTAGTGTGGAATATAATTTATTCTATCCCAATAACATAAAAAAAAATTGTTTTAAGAAACCCAATACATGAACCAGGTCTGTGGGACCACACAGACCTTTTTTGTTTTCATATAATATGAAAATATATGTTGTAACTTCTGGTTGCATAAATTTGGTTCAGGATTACTGTGATCAGTTAAAATTATACCGATTTTACTGAAAGCCTATAATATATCGTGTAATTTAAGTTATTACCTTAAATTGCATTTCCATAATTTAAGGCATTTTTTAAATTCAGTGTCCAGTTGCTTTGTGCAATTTATTCTTCTTTCTCCGTCAGTGAAGACATGGATTTGCCTGGTTGCTTTGAAATATCAACACTGACCTGATGTATGACTTGTTAGGAGTGTTTCTTTATTGTTTTGTTTGTTTTTTTCCGGGTCATCTTTGCCTGATTGGCTGATAAATAAAAATCCCTCCTGTAACATTGTAAGCTTCAGTGTCTCGTACATTACAGCTGTTAGTTGCGGGTGGGCAGGACAATCTTCTCAGAGCTCGCATTATGTCTATAGGGCCTAAAATAATTCCTACAAATTTCCAAAAGTTCCATAAACTCTATAAAATCTATATGATTTTGATCAGCTATGTTAAACGTAGTTTCTCTTTTTTTATGTATAGATTTTTGCCTGCTACTTTCTGGGATTGGGGCTTTGTGCTGATCAATTCAACTGATGGTCTCTAAAATGTGCATCTATTGATTCTTTGCATCATCTCAATCCAAGTGTTTATCATCCTGATTAAATTAAATATCTATCCATTCATTCATAAAGATATATTTGCCTCTTTAATTCTTATGAGAGATCACCACTGGAATGGTAATACATTCATACTGCAGACTCAGTAGATATATTGTGAGATTGATTTACTTTGACAGACTGTCAGATGGCTCAGTTATGAACATTATTAATAATTTGATCAGCTTAACTACAGCACACTGTGCACTCATTCGTATTCATCATCATCATCACTCTGTGCAACATCCCCATTACATAAGAATGCTTTGAACCAGTTTCAGTAGGCTATTGGATTTCAAGTGGCATGCATTGAAGGTTTTTATGTTAGTAACATATATGGGCTGTTGGCTTGGGATTTGGTCTCCTTTATGCCCACTACCTAAAACACAACGAGAACAGTCGTGCCATAATTATAAAAAAATAAGAGAAAAGGACAGAAAATGTGGCACGCAAAGCTACTTTTCAGTATTTAATAATATTGGAATGGGATTTAATTCCTTGAACGTATGCCCTAGTGTGAATACAAACAAAAATATGTTACTATTTTTTTAAATAATAACTTTATAATAACAAAAAAAATTAATATTTACCCCAGAAAGAAAGCATTTTTCATGAATTGCTCATTTAAATGACATTCAGTTACAAACTGTCAAAAATGTACCTAATGTTTTTCCTGTTTGCTTCTTTATTTAACTTTTAAATCAAGAAAGTTTCATTGCAGTTTGTTAGATTTCATTGGACAATCTACTCAAAGTCAGTAAAGAGTATTCACCGTTTACTCAACACATTTCAAAGCTAAGAGAAGACAAGTTATGTGTTCAAGATGTATGCCATTAAGAACAACTGACAAAAAAAATAAAAAAATACAACAACAATAAAAAAAACCGGTGGCAGTTTTGCAGCTTATTCGGTTAAAAGTTCAACTTTAATCCCTATATATCTCCGTCTTGCCAGTGACACTGCAAACCATGCAATTTTAATTTATTGGCTCAAATTCTGGGCTGGCATCAGACACACACCATTTAATTAGCTCAGGGCATATCTCTAACACACAACATTTTCTGCATACCGGCCAAACAAAAACAAATCTTTTTTCACTCACATATTACTGCCAGCTCTTACATTCTCTATTTTGAAACTGCTAAAAGAAAAATACTTCCTTCGTTGTTTTTCTGGCAGTCTCATCAGGTACTTGTTCTTGTATTGATTTTTGAGCTTCGAGCCTTCAGACTGCTCTGGCAAATCCCTAGAGTGGTCAGAAACTACAGGCTGAGGGTGCCGGAAATGGAGCTGGAGCTGCAATGGCTTAAAACAGTCAATCAATTACTTTGAGAGCTAAGGCAAGCAATCTAAACGCCATAAATCATCTCCTAAAAAGTTGAGTTTTCCATGTAAGTTCTTAAAAGTGTAATCTAAGCGAGCAGCTCTGTATTCCCTTTTTTTTTGTAGCTGTTTTTGTTAGTTTTGATCCTCCTTTTACTTTGAGCTTGACATGTATTTATCCAGAGCAACAAAGGATCTTTTAAAATAATTTACTATTTCAAACTTCAGTGCCTTAAAAAATATTCACATACATTAAAATCACCTATACGACAGTGTTCAATTGTATTTAGCAAAGCAGATATCGCTAGTCACTCGCTACAGGTGTCTAAAATCTTTCTGAACACTGTGAAAACGTAACTATGTTGGCAACAGAGAGGGCATCTCTGGAGGAGCAGCAGAGATCTACAGCTCAGGTTGAAGAAATTTCCCACACAGTTTTTTTTTCTACTCATTATTTCCATATATTAAAAAATAGAAATTTTTAAAACAACATACCCTGTGACCTATGTGACCATACCCTGTGACCTTTATGCGACCTACATAAAAACTCTTGTACTCTATGTGCAAAAAATGCCGTGGTGGTGACAGTATCATCTTGTGGGAAGGTTTTTCACCAGCAGGCACCTCCAAGCTGGTCAGAGCTAAAAAGAGGATTAACAGGGCTATCATGCAAACAAAACAATTAATAGGTTTAAATTTAAGGTCTTCGATTAAATAAAATTCCTGTGTTGGAAAAGCCCAGCACCTTTCCTAAACCATCCATTATAGTGTCTGTCCATAGATGCTGTTTACAGATTCAGTATAATCGGGATGCAGCTATTTTAGGCGAATGTTTACAGTTTTCAGTCTAAAGTTATAAATCTGCTAGGCAGCTAGACACAGACACCTTGGTAGCATGAATGTGCTTATAAGCCACATTTGGACCTTGAGAAATATGATATACCTTGTCTATAAGATCCAAAGGAAACGTATTGAGATGTGAAAATATTGTGCAGATCTACCTATTATTTTTGTAATGACTCGTTCTGAACATTAGAAGTTGTCTTACTTACATTGACAGATTCGTGGCCAGCATATTTGACTCGAACCCGAGGTTCCTGAACCACATCCAGGTTTGTCCCAGTTATTGTCAGGGTGGTGTGCCCGCTGTTTGGATGAAAGAAATGCAGTTAAAGCATACTACAAGATAAACACGCTGCTACTGGTTTCTTCAAGTGTTGCTTCAAAGGATTACGACATTCTTGTAACTTTTTCTAAAGTGCTCCTTTGCTGTTGCTGTCCAAGCTTCTTGAAAGTCTTTTACACACTTTTACTTTGAACACTTTTGAATTTTTCATTACATTTCAGTCCCGTCCTCGAACCTTAGCAATTTCAGTGTGCTTTTTTTTTTTTATTTGGTCATACAACTAAACGTAGAACTATGAATCCTTCAAAGCAAAAATCAACCAAAGAGAGATGATCCAATGCTTACAAAATACACAAGAACCCGTTAAAAGTGAATAGCAGGCACTCTGTAACCAGCTGTTTGATTTGACGACACAAAATGTTCCAATTTCTTAAGAAGCATTAGCAAAAATGACCTGTTAAGGCAGTTTAAAAGACATAAAACAGTGCTTTTGCACCATTAAGATAATTCACAAAGAAGCTTTTGAAGATTATTTGGCAAACAGGGGATAGATAAAAATGAAATATCAGATGTTTCTATTTTTTATTTAAAAAAATTTGTTTATTCTTCTACAACACAGTGGTGTAGAATGAAGGAGTTCATTCTACAACTAGAGGGTTGCTGGTTTTAATTCCAGCTCTGTCTCCTTCAGTCATTGTGTCCTTGGGCAAGATGCTTCATCCACAATATGGTGGATGGTGGTCAGAGGGCCAGGTGACGCCTGTGTACAGCAGTCTCACTTCTGTCAGTACGCCCCAGGGCAGCAGTGGCTACACCATAGCATGCCACCATCAGTGTGTGAATATCAGTGTGAATGACTGAATGCAGTGTAAAGCGCTTTGCAGTTTCCTGGCTTGAACCGGTGCCATGTAAGTACAAACTTCATACCATATTTCATATCCTATTTCTAATTAATACTTTTAATTTTAAGTATTTTAAATTTTTAGGTAAACAACTGTTTTTTGTGGTCGTTTTAAGGGGAGCAAAAATGGTTCATGCCATTTTCATTAGAAAAACGGTTCAGTTATTACCCTTTTTTAATTTTAGGCAGGAAAAAAAATATTTTACCCAAGGACTTCTTTAAAAATTAAAAAAAGAAAAGCATTCTTATAGGCAATGCATAAAAAATAAAAGTCGGTAAGGTTTTTGCATAGTGCAGTGTGTTAGAGGAATTATTCCCTAAATATGTATGCATACTAAAAAATTCCAGGTAGTCTGAACACAAGCTGCTTTTTCCTCTTTGATTTAATTAGGCCGGCAACCACAGAGAGACCAGTTATTTTTTCCATCAACAACTCCTGGAGAATTTGCATTAATGCATGTTTGAGGCGGCATAAATGGTAGCTCGCCCTTTGTTATTGGCCAAAAGAGAAAGATCAAAAGAGAACCAGCTGGCTGCTGTTTTATATTCAGCCGTGAGACTGAGGCTGGCATGGCATAAATTCAGGTGCTACTTGTTTACATATCTTTCTAGATTGTTTCAAATCATAAGAACCACTCTAATCACAACACATGCTGAACTGCAAACTTAAAAAAAAATGTTTAAAGCTAAGGAATACACAAGGAGAAAGGAGGGATAAAAGCATGGAAAAAAAATAAAACTGTCCAGCATAGTGCAACTAACAGAGCACCAGCCCTTCTGCTCTCACACTTCAAAGGCTATCTAAGCTTGTAGGGCCTCATAGTGGGAATGCACATTTATGATAAGGGCTCTTGATTGCAGCTCCACAAAGCCCTTCCTGTCACCAGGCTGCGGGCCACAGTGACACTCTAAGGCCTAATCTGCAGGGTTCTGGTGCTAATTTCACCCAGACACAAATTACGTCCATTTAACTGTTGGTGCCACACAGGTAACATGATCCTCACCTGTGTTAGAAGCATTTTTCCAGATGATTTATCGGTTTGTTTTAACTATCAGCTGTGTCTTCTCTTCACATAGTCATTATTTGTCTATCCTATGTCAATGTCAAAGGTTTTTATCATCTACAATACTTCTGACAACAGCTCTGTGTGACCTTTATTTTAAGTAACCTACTACTACTTATTTCAGAGTAATTTCAAAGCCATTTAGATTGCTATCACACGTATATTTAAAGACTTCTTACTATTTTAGTATTGTTGATAGTATTATGAAGGTTTACATTTTTTTGAGATCATATCCTTGAGGGCTTTATACTTTTTAAAAGCTGAGCTAATCTGCAATAAAATATGCATCAACGTTTAGAGGACAGTTTTGACTTTATGACTTCTTGATGGCTATTAGATACTAGCTTGGCCAGCCAGAAAAATGCACGCTATTCACACAGCGTACTAGTCTATACAGAAGCGGGTAGAAACCAATTTCAAAGGTGCTACTAACAGAGTAAGTGGAAACAGTTTGGAATTAATCAGATAATTACAGATGTGAGGTAAAAATATAGTCAGTTGTTGACTTTTTAACAATAAAGAATTCTTTTGGGATTAATAAAGGGCCTTGATAAAACATTGCTTCACTGCAGATGTAATTTTGACTATAATGTTTACAGAAAATCACTGTTGCATTATGGGCCCGCCTCCCGCGCTGTGATTGGTCTGCTAGGTTTTAGAGTGCACTGAAGTTCGTCTCTCTGGTCAGACTAGTTACTGAAAAGGCCCATCAAGAGACTCCTTCAGCTTCTCCAAGAAAACTGTAGCTATACATGTCAATAAAATATACCACTGCAAGTTTTTTTTCTACCTTGAAGAAAAATTGCATCTCAGCAAGATACAAGTATAATAGTGCAAGGAAAATATAGCACAACAGATACATGTTCCAAATAAACAACTACTTATTGCTTTTATTTACCAACATGAAGATTTTTAATGTTCAGTTGTTTTATTTCTGCAGTCAAACTTGCTGTGATACGGAGAATTAGGAAGTATTCAATATTTTAATCGTACATTTTATTTCTTGTACTTTCTTTCATGCAATGCTTTTCAAATATTTCTTTAGAGATTAAATGGCATTGATTATTTCTGCCACGATCAATATTCCAATAAAATTCTATTTACTGGATTACAAACCAGATGTGCAGAGATATTCTAACCTAAACCTGAGTTCTGTAACCCCCTACTATGAGAACATAAAGAGTTCCCAGATAAAAATCTCAGATTATTTAAAATGCAGAAGCTAAAGAATTGACAGGATCTAGCACAAGAGACAGATCCATCAACAGCTGGAATCTTTTCACTAACTTTCTGGAAACTGAGTTCCGACTTTAAAAGTCTTCTGGCCAACAAAAGGATCAATAATACCAGGGCCCAATTATCCTAAAGATGTTTCATTCCTATCGTCTATTTAATAAATAGGCAGTTTGTTCAAGTATGGAAAGTATGGACTGCAGAGCCATCAGCAGTTAGGCTGGCAACCTGCAAAATAGTTTCAGTTCAAAAGACGGAAGCATTTTTCTTTTCTTTTCGATGATTATACTTGATTTCATTCTATAGATATAAAACAGTATTGGGTAAATGTTCTACTGTAACATTTTTCAGGTCTCTTTAACTGAAAATGTATGCACATCTTTATTATTTATCCTTTATGTTTTTCTATTTGCATTCAGTTTTAAAAATTTTTAAAGATTGTTTACTCCTCACTCTGGAATAAATTATGGCATTTTTATCTAAGTTATTTGTAGTGCAGGAGGTGGGAAACAAAAGGATCCTAACTAAATTAACATTCTGTTTGATAATTTTTCCCACACCATGCATGAAACTGTTGCAGAACTGCAGAGCTCCTTCAGTGACAGACTGCTGCACCCTAAATGCACCAGGGAGCGTTATCACAGATCCTTCCTCCCAGCAGCTGTAGGACTTTATAACCATCACTGTTCCCAACATTCATGCTGATTTTGCAGTTTCTACCTTAGTCAGTTAAATAACATGCTGCTATAATTTTTGCACATCTCTGATGTTGCTGTTATTTTCAAATATGCATTACTGTAAAAATTTCTATAGCTGTATATTGGTTATTTAATCTCCAGGTGCACAGTATTATTCTTATACACTTTTCTAAGGTCCACTTTGGTGTGACCATTTTTTTTATATAATCTTTTTTACTGATGTAAACACCAGAATTTCCCCATTTTGAAACAGTAAAGGGATTTTCTATTCTATAATATTCTTTTCCTTTCTAAATGTATGTATATATGCATTGCGTGCATTTAGGAAGGTAATGCATGCAATTTCATAAAAAAAATTTTTACAAGCTCTTTGCTGCAAATGGTTGTTAGACATTACAGGACGTTAAAGATAAATAAAAATTGATTGATTAATTGATTACTTGATACAGCGCATTAACAATAATTAGAGAAACAGCTCACAATAAATTCCTTACTATAACTTCTTACACTTAGTTAAACTTGAAAGGAAAAAAAAAGTTTCATTAAACAAGCTAGCACTAAGTGTTGATGTAAAACATGCAGAAAGCATCTGTTCCCACTGAGGTACCTCGCAATGCTCCATAGGGGTTCAATGCTCTGGACTGTGGGGTCTTCTATGTACTCAAAGGTCAGCCTTCCAGGAGCTTTGGCCCGGTCGACACTCAGACTGACTTGCACTGGTCCTGCTCCCATCAGCGATGGAGCTGCAAAGCACACAATCTCTGACATGCTCCTCCTGGTGGGAGAACCGAAAGAAAGATTTATTCATGCTTTCGATTGTGTCTTTCCTTTCACTGCAGCAGAGGCAAATCCCTGACTTCATACAGTTATGAGCCGCGCATGACGGGAGACGATTCATTAGAGCCTGCCCCGTCTCCTGCCTTTACAGACACATTAGAGATGGGAACTGTAATTAAAGGGTACTCTAGCTAATGACTCTTTTGCCTGACCTACTTGACAACTACAATGGGCCGAATTTTAGCTTTAAATAGACTTCTATTAATACACAAAAAGAAATATGTGATGCGAGTTTCATCACTTCCTGACCAAACATTACTCATTCCTTATTTAAAATGCAAGCGCACACTTGAAGCTAATGTGCACATTTATGGAATAAATTGATTTCATCCTGTGTTTGAGTAAAACAAGCGAAGACTAATTCTTTAATGGTGTGCAGACACAATCTCACTAAAGTGGCTCTTCATCTGGGCTCCAATAAAAAGAAATATTACCAAAACATCCAGGGATGCAAAATATCATTATGTTCACCTGTACAGCTCACAGGTTTGATTCCCAAAGTAGACATTAACGGTGCTGCCAGCGTTCAAGTTCTCCCCGACGATGGTAACCTTTGTGCCCCCAGACTCAGGTCCTCTTGCTGGGGTCAGAGCCAAGATGGCCGGTATCTACAGCAGAAGAAAACCTGTTTATTGTACAGGCAACACACAATTCAAACAATGCACAGAAAACCTTGTTTTCTGGCCTTTATTGTTCCTTGGTTTAACCTTAAATAAAACAATTTTTTAATACAGAAAACAGAATACATGCTCTCTCTGCATTCATATATATATATATATATATATATATATATATATATATATATATATATATATATATATATATATATATATATATATCACTGATTCTTGAGAGTCAGGACAAAACACTTTTTAAAATTTTTTTTTCAAAAATACACACTATATCAATTAGAGTGATATGTTTCTGCAGAGAATGGTCTTAGTTATTTAACTATGTAAACGAACAGGTTCTACATAAAAACACATTTTTAACAAATAAACATGTTTCCCTTCAGAGCTGGATTTGTGTCAACTCCGTCAGACACACTAAAAAGTATACAATTTTTATTCTTCCAATCATACAAGAATCTAAAGTTCTGAAGTATACTGTAATAATGTTTAAGTACTATATGTAAAAAAAAAACATAATGTATAAACTTAAGTTGTGATTTCACACTATTTTGAAAACTCAGATTTCTAAATATTAGCATTTTCAAACTTTGATTTTAATTTCAATGTTGTAAAAACAAGTTCCTTAAATAAATAAAACACAAGAGGATGTAGATCAGATGGTCCTTTATTACAAAAACAACATAAACTGAAGGAAGAATATTTTTTCTCCCCAAAAATTTACAAAAACATACATCCAACGCTCTTGACGAAGATCTGACGGTGTTGACGAAAAACTGACGGTGTTGACAAAAAATGCGTGCATTGCTGATTGAATGAACAGATTTGCTCTTTGACCACTACTACTAAAACTACCCCTTGTTAATAGAGAATTTAACTTACTGTAAAGCAAACTATAATAAACATATTGCACATACAACGTTTCTAACTATTATAAATTTCAACGTTTCCAACCATCAAAAAAAAAAAAAGGAAAACAAGGGGCCCTCCTTCCCCTCTATTTTCATCTGCCTCCCCTATACCACTTTCTTCTCTTCATCTTCTCATCCACCTGTTCTTCTCTTCCTTTCCTCCTTTGTAAGTAGCCATTTACTTTGAAGTGGTGTGTGTGTGTGTGTTTGTACTGCCTACTTTATACTGGGTGTGATCTTAAATTGACATTGTTTGACAAAAATACTGCAACACAATATCTGTATCTTTGAATTAGGTTCAAGTAGGTTACTTAAGCTTTCATTTTTGTCTAATCTGCACTTCTGTCTTAAGCAGCAGGCGTCGGACATGCTCCCTCTCTATAAAGTCCGTCACATCAGGGGCTATGCTGTAGATCTCTCGTTTTCTTAATTTGACTGGTGATGCATTTCCCATTAGTTTCACTATGATGTCTTCAACTGGGCAGAAACAGACATCCTTTGTGAGAAGCTTAGGCTGATACTTTGCTGTTGGACCATGGGGATGCAGAAACTCCACTTTCACATCTTGATGCTCAGTATCCACAGCAATGGTCTTGGCTAGCCACCAGTGGTCATCATATACTACTGCTAGCCAGTCTCTATTATTAAGGCTGCTAACAGTTGTTACTGTCACAGTACCCTCAGGACCTTTCAGAGGCTCCTCATCCAACCCCTCGTCCATTACATCTTCCATTTCCATATCCTCTCCCCCTGCTCCCATCTCTTTTTCCATCTCCTCCAACAACAGGGCCAAAGGCCTTTTCTTCCCTGCCCTCTTTGTATGACTCTGCTGTTCCTCTGGGTAGCCATGAAAATAGAAGGTAGCTGGGCTGAAGCACTGGCAAACCAACATCTTGCTGCAAAAGCAGGATAACTGTCTGTGCTGGATCCTGTTCTCATGTGGGATGACCTGGTGTATTCGTCTTGTTGAGGAAACCTGTTTTAGAGGATGCATGAGAAGTGTATCATATCTTTGCATGTCTTCTTCTGCAATGTGATACAGCTGAATGCTCTTCAGGCTGTTTGAGACCTTTTCAAAGAATGTGTGTCCATCTGTCACATCATTTCCTCTCAAGACCAGGTTGTCAGCTGTTCTTTTTACTGTTCCGCCAATGCCGCCTGGTGCGCCCTTACCATGGGAAGTGGGGAAGAAGTTCCATATTGCTCTTTCAAACCCAAGTGTAGGGGGGATACAAGACAGAAGGAAAAAAATTCTTCTTGTTCTTATACTGTTTACTTGGACCATCGGACCAAAAGTGCACGGTGGTGACCTGTGGATATCTCGTTTTTGATATCTTTTAGGACTGGATCCATGTGTGTCCAGATTGCTCCAGCATCCTGTCTCTTTGACTCTGAAAGTGTGCAAAACCCTGCCCTTCCACCCTTTATGTAATACATTCCGGTATGTAGCGTTATCTGTGGAAGATTTTGTCCAAAATGGCAGGCCTGTACTTCAGATTGATACTTGCATCTCCAGGATTCTGAAAAGTCAACATGAATAATTGCTGTACTTTCTTCACAAGTCTCAATTGAGTTTCTGTATGCTTTTGACTGGTTTTGCACTAAACACACATGTGTTGTGGTTTCATTTCTGAGTATTTGCTCATAAAGTATGATGAGCTCTGAAAGACTGCCACTGTGTTGGATGAGTTTAGTGTGGATTCCATTGACTGTCTCTTCTTGAACTCTCTCCCACTGCTTCCACTGAACATGGATTTTGTCTTGCTCTTGAGTTGTAACTGTTCCTTTGTGTAGACATCGTGAACATGTGCGAAGAAGGCAGGCCTCACTTGCTGGAGAGCAACAAACTAACTGAAAACTGTCATCTAGTTTGTTTGACTTCACAACTCCAAACGTTCTAAGGACCTCAAGCATTAAGTATGCATTTTCATGCTTTTGACATAGGCATGTCTTACGATCAGATGCTTTTGGTGCTGTAATATAGAATGGTTTCAGAGCACAGAAAGAAGAATAGCTCAGCTTCACAGTGGGGTTCCTAATGAGGAAATCAGAGTGGAGGTTGATCATGGAGTCTGCCAGGATCATTCTCTGCTGCTTTATCTTATTCCTAGTGATGGTGTCAGTCTTATCAGTTGTAACACGTGCATAGTTCAGGAAGAAATCCTTTACAGTCTCGGTTATTCCCATTAGGAATGTTGGCTTTTTCTTTGCCCGTTTCTTTCCTCTCATTAACTTGTAGGTTATCCCAAACTGGTGGATTTGATGAAGGAGGCGATACTTTTTGAGAATTTTGCCCGATGACTCACTTAGTGCTGGTTCCCGAAGCCGTGGCCCAGGAGTTTGTTTGTTTTTCTTCAGCTCTCTTCTGAGGATGTTGTGGAATAGAAGGGCTTTCTTAATTTTTGGATTCCTTATGTTGCTTCCTGATAGCATCTTCTTTGTTTCTGTGCCTGGGGAGTCAAGTATTGTTTTATTTGTAGCGCTTCTAATTCGATATATTTTCTTTCTCATTCTGTTTCTTTGCTTTGTTACCTTCTTAAGCTTCTCTTTCAAAGTTTTTATTTCTCTCGAATGCCTTTTTCTTGTTTTATTTCTCTCCCTTTTCTGTCTGAGTGACTGTCTGCTGTGTCTGGCGTTGTATTCTTGAATATCCTGATGTTGCGGACTATCTGGTGGGGTGTGTGCCTTCAGCACTGCATCTTCATTGTATCTTTTCTCTCTGGACCTTTTCTGTGCCTCTCTCCAATACTTCCTACAATTCCTCTTTGCCCTGTCTCCCATATCGTCTATTTGTATTATTTTCTGTCTTTAACTCTCTTCTTCCACCTTTGTCTTTCCTTCTCTTGCATAGCATGCTTGCTCTCTTGGTCATTGTTTAATTTTTCTCTTCTCTTTCGTTGGTACTCTCTATTTCTTCTTCTTTTCTCCTCAACTGACAATTTCTGTCTAGCCATTTTTTCCTACAATACAAATTGAAATAAAGAAAAATTTACTTGAATAAGACTATAGAATCAGATTTTTATTTACATGATATGATGATTGACTGATGGATGAATGGATAGATCTAAAATCCACTAGGTGCAGTATGTAGTTTTCATAACCAGATGTTGTGATAATCTACACATTGGCCTCTCATTTCCTTTTCTCTGTCTCTACATATATAAATATATATACACATATGAAAGTGCTGGCAAAGTTACACGTAACACAATAATAAGCAGACAACTGCCTGCCCATTCTCTACAAGTCAGATGCATATGGTTAAATAATGTAATGCATGCTATGAATGTGCGTTTATGTGTAAATAAAACCTTGAAATATCAGTTTAACCTTTCACTATATTCACAAATAATATTATATTTGCACATTAAGAGGTCATTGGTGGTTTTGTCAACTCCGTCAGCTTACAGGTCAACTCCGTCAGACATAGAACCTGACGGAGTTGACGTCTGACGGAGTTGACGTAAGGGCATGTGTTTTCCCTCCAAAACATGTATTGTACACTGCAGCTAGATACTTTTCCTCAGTTGCTAGCTGTTTCAATAACCTCACTAAAATGCTTAAATTCAATCCACTATGGTTTAAAAAAAAGTATCTCAACTGAAAGACAGTATTGACAATGTGCAGCTGTGACCATAGGAATATTGACGTTCTTTGTCTCAAATATAAAAAAAATTAAAACATACCAGATCATGTGTGGTAGTGTTGCATTCACCACAGACAGGGAGATAAAGAGGGGTCCTCAGAGATATAGCTGACCTTGCTATTGCCTGATTTAAAGAGCTTTATGAAAAAATCTGACGGAGTTGACAGAAACTGAGGACACAACTTTAATAGGCAGATTTTTATGGAAAATACAGTTTAATGTTGACTTCATGTGTTGTTTTTTATATTTATACCCCTTATTTTTTATTTGATATTTCTGATTTCACAATTTTAGAGCATTTTTAAGTTTTTTGGGATGGTTAATATTGTGACCTATTGCTGAGGACAAGTAAAATAACATGGACATCCTAACCAAAGAAAACATATTTAAACAAATTTTCCCCAAAAAAATAAAAAAGTTTATTCTAAAAATCCGATAGGTATATAAAATTCTTTAGATTTAACTTTGTAAGTATGTAAATCATGATGAATTTATTTATTTTTTTGCTATAAATTAGAATTTTTTATGTGGGACATGTTTTGTCCCGACTCTCAAGAATCAGTGATATATATATATATATAGAGAGAGAGAGAGAGAGAGAGAGAGAGAGAGAGAGAGAGAGAGAGAGAGAGAGAGAGAGAGAGAGAGAGAGAGAGAGAGAGAGAGAGAGAGAGAGAGAGAGAGAGAGAGAGAGAGAGAGAGAGAGAGAGAGAGAGAGAGCATAGGTCTGCTTAACATAAAAAAAAATCGTGATTCAAACAGTTATATTTGTAGTCCTGTGTACCGCAGCTTTCAGATTAGCTTCTCTGGGGTTTGTTTCCACATTTTAAGTACATTTTGAACTTAACAGGCTGTTTCTTTTTACTCAGGAAACCTGAACTAGATGTTCTCCTCTATGCGCGGCTGACAAAAACCTGTGCTTTATTTGACAGTCCTCATGTGTTTGAATATGGTAGATTTTGTAAACAGCTTTCTGGTTTTTTTGTTTGTTTGTTTGTTTTTGCCTATAAAAAAATATTTTTTCCTCTAGGGTAAGATTTGTGTGTGAAATGTAATCAGGCTATAGTACACACAAAAACCCTATGAAATATGGACTTTATTTGTCTAGTTGTCCCCTTATAAATCAAAGCATTTCCGTAATTTTGATTAGGAATGTTTTCTTTATGGAACTCTATCCCTAGTTTTAAAGTTCTGTTTTCTAGGCTTCTGTTACAATCTAACCAAGCAAGAAAACATTTAATATTGGAAAAACAATGGTATAGTTTTGTTCTCTATATGTATCCTCCTCTAGCATTTACGAAGTAACAACTTTTGTTGTGTGATTTCTGGGGTATGTGTCTGCTTTGCACCTCTAGATGATAAAATACTTCTCTTTCTTATTTAGTCAAATTTCTCAAACTGAGTCAGAGTGAATGAAGAGCATATGTACACTTCAGTTTTCCAATCTTTCAAACATATTTCTCAAAAGTGACTAGTCTATTCCAACACATTGATCTGCTCTGATCTTAACAAATCTATTGTAGCCTTTTGCTCTTCAGCTTCATATCCTTTAAGGACTGCACTACATATACAACAACAGTTACATCTTTCCATCAGCTCTGACCAGCTTTGCTGCAACAATCACCTTTTAAAGTCAGGATGAACCGACCTAAACTTATTCCTGGATGTTTATGTCATGTTTCTGGTTCTGTTTAAGATTTCTTTTTGAGTTTTCATTGGTTTCATTTCCATTTTGTGTCTTTTTTGTTGTTTTCTGATTGTATTTGAGTTCTTATATATTTCTTCTTTACTCTCTGTTGCCCCCTTGTGTCAGTCTCCTTCCCTTAGCTCCCTTCTAGACCCTTCTGTCCACACCTGCTCCCAATCAGTTAATTACTCCAGTCTTTGTTCTGTTTGGCATATATACTCCTCCTATTCAGTTACTGTTTGAAGGTTTCTCGCTGTTTCTTTGATCCTCATGTCTGCTTTCACTGACATTTTCAGATTTTTGATTTTCTGCATTTTGTTTTTTAAACTTTTGCTTCTGTTGCCCTTTGGATCTGCATTACATCGGTAAGAAACCACCTCAGTTTACGTCTCTGCATTTGGGTCCTCTAAAAACCTCCACACAATCTGAAAGTTAACTACAGTCCCAAGATGACAAGTTGAAACTGCAAACTTGACTTTCTGTTGCTTCCCGTTTATTTTATTTTTTAACCAAAAGTGTTTTGTGTTTTTTTTCTTGCCACTCCGTAGATAAAGTCTATTTGTGGAGCATAGGACCACTAGTTGTCCTGTCAACACATTCTTCCATCTTAGCTGTGGGTGTCTGCAGCTCCTGCAGAGTTACCATTGGCTTCCAGTTGCTTAGATATTACTGTCTTTCCCTGGTCAGTCAGTTTACAATACAGATTTACTAAAAAGGATCCATTCTTTTCCTGAAACTTCACAATTATATGCTATGTTGTTTTGGTTCGCAACATATTGTGGATTCATGTATATTTTTCACACATTCTAGTATAAGATAAAGTGTGTGAAAATATAAAAAAAGTAAACAAGAAAAACAGAGAGAAGTAAAAGGTTGTCAGAAAGCAGAACTCACATGCTGATCAATTATGTAATAAATATGCTAGTGAGCCCTTAATTTACGGGCTGAACATTAAGTCTAAAATCATCTTTCACTTTAAGTTTCTATATGTGTGCATAAAACCTTTGAGAATTACCCAGTGTGAATTCACAAAACTGAAGAAAAACAATGCTTGTTAAAGCAAAACATCAAGTATTATTTTAGTAATTTACCACAAAGGTGTAGATCTGGGAGGACTGTGCGCTTAGCTCTGGTCTACATTCACCGACACACAGCTTAACAGGGCCTGGAGCGCTTCCTTCAGGAGCTGCATCCATCTCACACACAATCCTGTGAAAAATAAGAGAGATAAGAATAGAGGTGGCATCTCCAAACCATTGGCATCACCGATTTGGCTAATAGAAATAAAACGACCCAGACACCTGACATGTGGCACGCACAAAAGGATGACTGCACTATGTCACACTGGTCATGAGCTTCAGTGGCAGAGGATGCTCTTTTGGTCGCTGTGATTGAAGCAGACTTTCATAGAAGTTGTGGGTCGATACAGAGACTCATCTTTCTTCCTAATAGGAAACCCATAACAGCAATATAACTCAAATGATAAACTATACCCCTCCCCATCGTAGGCATGACCGCCATCCGCCATTACCTCCCGTTCCCATGACAACATGGGGTTTCTTCAATAAGTCAGTATTGCCTGTCAGGTCAATAAGATAAAGCATGTTATGTTTAAGTCATTAAAGCGACTGACCCAATGCTGAAATTAATGGTGGTAACATCTTTAATGTCATGTTCTGAAGCGCTGTGCGAGCTAAACGAATAGCCCTGCTGAATGTTCTGCTTTGCAACAGAAACCATAAGTCTCCTATATAATAGGAGCACCCAATGAATCGTCCCTTCTTCCCATAGATCACGTGTGGATTCCTGCTTACGGCTGGCATGTTCCTTTCTTTTCCTTTTTTTTTTTCATTTTACAAGCGTATAAATAAAGTTGCTGCAGCCTGGTTCCAATCGCATTACATGCCAATGAGAGAAACACATGGCTAACAGATTGTCCCTCCAGTCAGCGACATGCAGCGCATTTCAATTACAGTTGTACCGACAGCCTCATAACAACAGCGACACAAAGACTGTCTGCCTCCTTCTTTGGCAGTGACGGCACCAGAGCAAAGCAAAGCCCCCTGCAGCCTGGGGAGGCGTGTCAGGGTTTTTACTTACACACAGGCCATGATTTACAGTGTTATTGTCACAGGGGGAAAAAAGGAGCTGCATGGGTTAATTTTCTCTGAATCTTTGGATAATCGTGTTCAGTGCCTTACAGAAGTATTCATTTCTCTGAAACTTTTTCCTCTGTTTCACCTTAAAACATAAATAGCACATAGAAGTGTAACATTTCATTGGTTGTGTTTTCAGCAGCTATATTCTAACATTTAATAACCTCTGGTTGTTTCAATCTGCTTTTCTAATACAGTTTAAAATCCGCCAGATTGGATGGACAACTTAACTGATTTAAAAGTTTATTTTTGTTATTATCTTAAGATAAATTGTATTCCATGAGAGCTAGGGCATGCGTCTTTAGTAAAGTTAGCTGACCTCTGGTGTAAACCATGGGTATTAAGTTGTTCCTAATGGCTCCCTTACTAAAAGATTAAACTAAAATCCATTTTTCCTTTTAAACGGCACCATCATAGGCACCATTTATCTTCCACAAACCTATAAATATCTTCCATGTCCATTCTAAATAAGAAATATCTACAGTAAGGTGATATCACCATTGTATTTTAACAGCTAGATGATATTGGGATTCCAGTCAATGTGCAATATTTTATATTTAAGCCAAAAAGTTATTTTGTGTGTTTTCTGGCAAACTGCTACTGTAATTGACCTACTATACGTTTTGTTTCAATTTCTTCTTTTTTATTACAAATCTTCAGATAAAGCTAGATTATTTGAATAACCAAATAGTGAACGGACTGAATTTATATAGTGCCTTTCTAGTCGTATAAAATGCCATTTACCCATTATCAATAACAAACAGGCACACATCTATATATTGATCAGGATAGAACCTGTTTTGAAGTGCTCTGCAAAGAGTCACTTTGCTTTGTGGCAGGAGGAAGCTGGAATCGATGGCAGGATGACTACTCCATCTACCCAACCTGCCAAAGGCTAATAGATGAACTGATGAAAGATTCTCCTTTCTGAGAAGCGGATCTCTGCAGCTCCCCCAGAGTTACTTAAGAGCTTCTTGACTGTTTTTCTGAGAAATATTATCTATGCTCCATCTCTAATTTAGGTGGATGGCTCTGTCTGAGTATGACTGTAGTCATTTATTTCTTTGATTTTCAGATCATTGATCAAATAGTGCTCTGTTAGATAACAGCAGTGTTGATTGCAATTTAAATTAGACAAAGTTACGCTCCATTTACTATATGGGGTGAATAGCAAGTAGTTGCATTGGATTCTATTAAACAATATTAATATCCTGTTTTTTGTTATCTTCTATGAACTCTATTTTATTTTCTCCCTATTTCATAATCATGCTCTATCACTTAAAATAGACAGAAAACACTTTAGAGTTTGTGTTTGCAACTTTACAGAATGCAAATGATTTTTGCAAAGCATAGTAAGTTAGATTAAGGAAACTTGTATATGTGTCAAGATAAGGAGCAACTCTTACTGCTCAGCAGTGATGTATCCCTCCTGCTGTGGAGTGCACTCCACTCCTGCCACCTCCACGTTACCCACAAGCTCAGAGAAGGACAGACCCAGGTTCAGGCCCTGAATAGTGACAAGAGTCCCCCCCTCCAGAGGTCCTGCCACTGGGCTTACCTGGAAAGAGGAGAAGAAGAAGGTAACATTTTTCTCAGGAAAATATTAGCAACAACAGCTCTAAACTGTCTAAACTTCCATGCCAAACTTTCAATGTTTAACAGACTACATGTTTTTGCTGTTTTTATTAACAGTAAAGGTTTCTTAATATCCTTATGGTTAAGTCTTTAATCTTAGAAACTCTCTCTGTGCTTTTTTTTTGTGTTTTCCATAACTGAAATCTTAACAGGACCGATTACAATAGGGGGTTTTCAGTGACGTCACTGGCCAGCTTCCGGTCCGCCATCTTGGGTGGCATATTATCGTATATCATATATATCATGTCGCGAATGGATAAGTATGCCAGCACGCTAGAGCCACCAGATCATGGAACATATCTGAGGAAATGTTCCGTGATCGACAATATGGACCCCTATGCCCTCCACGGTGCCTTGTTAAGCACTAATCCAGATGTTTGGCCAAATATAGAGCACGGCGACATAGTATATTACCTGGTGTTCAGTGAAAACCCCCTTTACACTCTTGAGGAAATGAGAGCGTACAAGGGTCTAGAGGCGCACAACCAGTTCACATCTGGTTGGGTACGAGATGTCGAAATAATGTACATGAAGGAGATCGCCATCATACGTGGACGGGTGAGTTTTAATAAGATGGTAAAAACGTAAACAATCCGACGCAGGGCTCACTATGCTAGGTGGCTAACGGCCGGCGGTGCGCGAACAGTTCCAAAGCTACAAGTCCTTGGAGTCTCATGTGCAGTTTACGAATGGATCAGTTCAGGAGCTGCAGCTCATAAAGCCAGCAAACAGTGCTAACCGTTAGTGCTAACAACCACTCAGGCATATAATGTACTTTTAACTAGCTGCTATGTGTTTCAAAGGTTTGGTTAGTAACGTTAACTGCCAAACCTCCCTAAACCCTCCGGGTTTCTCACATATTTGAGCCTTTTTACCGCTGGTTGAAATCAAGTTAAGGTGAAATTAATCAAATTAAAACACGGCTGAGAGAGGGAGTCCAGTACGCGGTAGTCATAGGCAGTAGTCTGAGTAGCGGCGGCGGAGGCAGTCAACATTGCGGCCACGGAAAGTAATACGTCATGACGCCCAAGCCCTATTATTAATATATTCTTACATGTTTTAAATGCTTGACAGTTAATTACCTGTGACAAAGTGAGCACTGCAGACTCTGGCGTATTCCAGCTTAACACCGTCCAAATCGGACCTGGATATCCGTGTCAGCCATAGGTGACGGCGTTGTTCAGATAGCTGTTTTGTTTTTTCACATTGATTCACGATTACGGCTGGTATGCGATAGAAAGAGCGTTGATCTCCACCTCCACGGGCCGTGCAACCAACAATTACACACGATTTCACCATTTTTCACTGTCAATATTGCCTAAGGCTGCCACCCAATATGGCGGACGAGCTGAGTAGTCACGTGAGCGTAACGTCACCTGAAAACCCCCTATTAGAACCAAAATTTTTAAGTGGATTATTTCAAACAGCTTTTTCAACAGTGATAGTTTAACATAAACTTTAATAATTAATTCAGAGGACAAAAACTCTTTCATTCAAATCATTCACAGTGAAAAAAGTAAACCATGCCAGCAGGTGACATTCAGACCTACAGAGCAGAACTAGGAGCAATGCTGAAGCAACTCTGCCTGTGCTGTCGAGCAGCACTCTGCGGTTGATTCATTCTGCTGCAGCTCCTTCAGAAACACTAATAATGTGACAGGGACATCAAAGGCTGCCGGCTCTTTGAAGTGGAAGAGGCTTGCATCTTCGTGCATGACCCACAGTGCCTTATTCCAGAGAATGAACAGGGGTTTGGGACATAAAAGATCCATCACTCCTTTCTAACAGACTGAATTCGTTAAGCTGTCAAGAACTTAAGGTATTCAGTTGTCATGGAACAAAATGTTAGATAGGCTCAGGTAAACAGACATTTGGCTGTAAGGCTGGGAAGAAAAAATTCTGTGTTTTGTTGCAGTTTGAAACTCTGAACTCCGAATACTGCACATTGACATATTGTCCTGGACGGTTTCAAAATCCAATACAAGTGTCTAAGGCTAAATAACTAGTTTAACATTAATCCCTAAATCAATCAGCTATGGGAAAACACAAGCTGCACCTAAGAAAAAAAAAAAACAGTGTCATATTTCTCAACTCATTTGAAGAATACCTACAAGCTTTTATGTAGAGAATACTCTATGCACCTGAAATGTTTAGATTTCTTTTATATTTTTCAGTGTTTCTAAACGGAAACTATCTCTTATCAAAGAAAGTATTTGACTATAAAAACCTTTTTCAATCTCTTTCTAACTTTCTCCATTGAACTGGGAATGATGTCATAGCTGCCATATTTTAAATGTTCTGAACAAACAACACCCATGTTACAATATGTTTTTCTTAGCTTTTTTTTGCCAAGTTCCGACTTTATGAATCACAAAATGAGAAAATAAATTGAATATTGTTGTTAGTCTAATAATAATAACAATCATTGAGACAATTTTTCATTTGGCCAGTCGACTGAATGCCAGCTAAACATATAGGGGTCTACTAGGCTGGTAACTACATTATTGAAGCAATGCACAAGTAATTTCTGCATGAGGTTAAAAATAAGGAAGTAACAAACCTCTGTAATGCGCGGGTTCGTGCACTTGACATTCCTGGCAGACAGGTCCAGCCAACGGCTGGCGTAAGGGGAGATGGGAGGACAATGCTGCTTCATGGTGCATCGACCCTCGCCGCTGCACCAGCCACACTGGAACTTCCTTTCAGCCCGTAGGCACATGCCGCAGCTGTCTCTCTGAGCACTGCACTTATATAGATGCACTGCAGGAGAATATAAAACAATGACTTTTAGCTAATGAAGGCCAAAGAATATTACTTTGTTTATAGAATGCTTAAAAAGGTTAAAGATGCTATATCATCGAAAATTTGCTGGCAAAGAATAACATATAATGTAGAATTAACAAAACAAATTTTAAAATATAGATAACCCTTTTTTTGACATCTTACAACCACAAACTTCATGGTTTCATTTAGATTTTATGAGAGTCAAACATATTTTAAGATTATAAAGAGGAAAGAAAATGGTGTCTTTCATTTAGCTCCATCCACCTTTTCATCGACTTTAAATGCAGACCCCATGCTGAAGAAAATCTTTGCACAGCATGATGCTGCAAATACAGCGTAGATTCTATCTTCAGTGTGATATGCCGTATCAGATTTTCAAACATAGTGTTTTACATGTAGAGCAGAAAATTGTATGTTGTTCCCATTGTTGACAGCTTCTTCATTTACTTTTTTTGTGTCCACTGCATGGCTTGTATCGTACTTTCGTATTTCCACTTTTACATGCAAGTCAAACACAATTAGCAGTTCTTCTGAGAAATTGCTCCACCTGAGCTTTAGATCTCTGCAGCTCCTCTAAAGTCACCTTTGGCCTCTTGATTGCTTTGCTCTTCTCTCACCAAGAAACACATTGAAGTTTCTTTTTCCAACATAGCAAAATGTCAAAAAGTTGATGGAATATTAATATTTAAATAAGACCCAGTGTAGAAAAGGTGCCATCACTTTTTCTAGACTTTTTTTTTAGCACACTGTAGCCTGCTGTTTTTAATTTAAAAGTGACATAAAATATCTGCATGGTGAAATTTAGTGCCTTCTTTTCAATCGGGGTGTTGTTTATAAATAAAATATTCAAAATTATTTATCTTTGAACCTGAGTGACAGAAAATGGAAAGCCAATCGAAGATCCAGGAGTGAATTTGTTCACACATTGCCCCTCTGAGCACAGAAGTGATTTGGTGGTCTTTGATGAAACTCGCTGATATGGTGAACTTTCTCTCAAGGCCTTTTGCTTGCCTTGAAGTGCTCTCTATAAACTGTATATTGCCTGTGGATTGAGTGCTTTGCACTCGTCTGGCTTGGCAGTGATGGATGGCACAGGCACCTTTAATCTTCTCTGGATTGTCTATGATGAAGTTGCCGTTCCATACGATGGAGAGATCCACTGCCAGGTCACTGATCTTCACACCCTCGTACATGTACTGAAAGGAAGAGAACCGAGATTGAGGGGGAATATGTTCAAAATGGAAACAGGCAGAGAAAAACGTCAAGTAGAAACAGAGGATAAAGAATATAGGAATACACAGAGAGAGCGAATAGGGAAAATCGAAGGACAAAAGGGCAGCCGAGAGACGAGGCTTTTAACCATCTGTCATTTTTTGCTATGGTTGTCTGCTCCACTTCTCTATGACATGAGGGGACACAAACCTTGGCTGGGGTGACCAATCATCCGAATCTGAGGAAAATGGCCTTTTCATACATTGTCACAGTATTGCAATATGCGGCGCTTTGAAATTTACGTAGTGATTTGCATTATGTAGGGAAAAAAACCCAGTGGAAACTACTGCCTGCCTCTGAAACTATGATGATCCTGAAAAGCTTTTAAAGACAAGATGTTTCTTTTTTTTAACTTTCCTGTTTTGCACTCTTCCTCATCACTTCAACTTTTCCTTCATCCCCTTTCTTGTCTCTGTGGAGCACATCTGAGGAAAAATTCCCTGATACTGATACACCACGCACAGCTTGACAACAGATCGTCTCAGGCACTGTCTCTCGTTTGACAGCTGCATGACTCCCACCGAGCGTGTTCAGGGTCATACCGAGCTGTTCTGGCACTGCACACTTGTGCTGTTGAAGCGCAGTGCCGTGACATGGTATCTGACACCCTGTACGTTCACCACGCACTCATAGCCCCGCTGGCCTGATTGCGGCTGAGGGAGGTTTCGGGCCTTCAGGGTGATTGGTCGAACCTCACCGGCCGGAATGAGAATTTCCCCAGAGGCAAGGAGCTGAGGACAGTCCTAGAAGAGCAAATAAAAACAAAAACCGTATTAAATATACACACAGATATTCAATAAAATGTAACATCAAAATTACTTTATGTACAGCAAACTTCAGTAAGTTTAATTGAAATCAAAATATATATGAAAACCAATTACCTTGAAAAATTGAATCAATTAAATCTACTTTATTATGTAAGTTATTTTTATTTGGAATGTTTTACTCAAAAAAATCCTTAAAACCAATTACAAATAACTTTTAAATTACATTTATAAATCTTTTGAGTTACTTTCACTAAAATATTATGTACAGTAGTTGGTGGATTTAGTCCAGTACATGGTTATTAAGCACAACTAAATTGAAAGACCTGACAAATAAGGTCTTAAATGCTTACTTTAACTGATAATAGCTAATCATAAAGTAACATTAAGCTTAGAAAGTATTATTATATAATCAAAACTCACTAAATCAAGGATATCTGAGTGTTTATATGATGTACAATGCACCATGTGACCAGCAGATCTGACAAAATTGTTACCCACTATTGAAAAGCAGGCTTACTTATGGTGTTTTATCATCTCCACAATTACCAAGTAGTCAGCCAATAGAATCTAATTCTCGTGTTAAACTGAGCAAAGTCCTACTACTTTGAAATACTTTACTTTTTCCAAGAACTCAGCTTAAAAAAATTCAATTATCAAGGGCATTTGCCCAATAGTTCACACTACTTATTTTAGATGAGTATAAACAACAAGTTAATGGGATCTGAGCTTGGTTCACCTGAATACTTTTAGAATCTACACTGAATGTTGGGTTACTGTGAAATGCTAGGACACCTAAAAAAGCTATCTATCTATCTATCTATCTATCTATCTATCTATCTATCTATCTATCTATCTATCTATCTATCTATCTATCTATCTATCATATGTGTATATAAAACATGTGGTTTCAGCTGTAAACATGCAGAAATACTGCACTGCATTTGCAAAACCTTTTCAACATATTTGTTTGTGTCTCTTTTATAAGCTTCCGCCCCGTTATATAAGCATAGAAACCAATGTAGAACAGGGATTAAAAGGGTGTATGGGGCAAGTGTATCTGCATGAAAATAACTCACTTGGAGCAGGGATTTATCCGATGCAATAAGTAAGGATCTCAGACAAAAGTTTTGTGTTTGTTTGTTTTGTTTGGTTTTTTTGGATGGATTATTCTAAAAACAAAGACATTATGAGTATTTGCTCAAAAAAATCATGTTGGCAGTGTTATCACAAGCTTATAGCATCCCTTTATGAGCTCTCCTGGTCAGAATCACAGCAATAAGCTTTAAATCTGGTTGTTTCTTTGTTTGGAGAATTAATTTTCTCATTTCCTTTATGGTAAACATATCAGCAGATTCATGATATTCCCAAAATTACTGTTTAGATGAAATGGAGTTGTTCTGTGTTTTTATACCTCTGAAGCGTTGACTCTTCCCTCCTGGAAAGAACAGCTGCTTGGGTCATGAGTACAGAGGTTGCGGTATTTACACCAGTGGCAACGAAATGTGCTCTTTACACATGAAAGACACCTGTGCAAAGAAATAACCACGTTACTACATACTGCAAAACAAATACGCAGATCTTTATGAGTCCAACTCATCTTCTGGACCCTTTTCAAAAGCTTGACTCAGAGTAATGATTTTTTTCCCCCTGATGATTTATAATCACAAAGTATAAATGTCATTTTTATTCCGGAGATGATAAAACATGACCATGAGAAAGCAGGCTTATTGGATAAATCTTCTGCAATCAAAGTGAACTTTAAACAGGTTAATCACCGTGCCACACAACTATTAAGTATGAAGGACTTAAAATGTCCTTGTTAGATGTAAGATGACTTTACCTTGTCAATAAACTCTACCATTTCCAATTATTGACAACTCTGCGAAAGATGTGTATAAAACCCCTAGTTGCTATGGAGACTTGATAACCTTCTGTTATTAGAGTTTTTACATGTTTAGGGCTGAATCTTAAGGAGTGACATCATCCACACTGTGAACGGTCTCAAAGGAAGGGGTGACTGACATTTGTTAACATTTTCCCAAACCTATATCTCTACTGGGGTGGAGGGGGTGAAGCATCACGGTTTTTTGTTTGCCGCAAAAACATTCAAAAGCTGCCTGTACTCCTAGAATTAAGATTAAAGTAATCTTCATACTAAACCAACATGAAGAGCTCATCATAAATCAGTATTATCTAAATACTGGTGAAAACATTCAAAGTGATGCTCAGCAAGTAAAAAGGTTTTGACTGCTGTAATGCAATTTTTTAGTATGGATTATCAAAATTGTAAAAGTAATTATTGTCATGCCATATTTCAAATCATAGGGAAATATTAAACAGTGGCTCAGAAGGTTGTGTTAATCCTGTAAACTGTAATTTTAGTTTGAGAAGCACCTTATTGTCCCCGTTGTTGCGTTATTGGGCAAGACATTTTTATCCGCCGACAAGCCTTTTTTAAACCTTTCAGATTATAGTTTTTCTATTTTTTGACAGTGTCATCTGATTATCAATGAAAGTAGTTAACTTTATAGGGCAAGTTAACGTTTTTGGTTTTGCACACGCTTTATAAATTGAGCATTTGGCCAGATAATTTGAATCATAATATAAAAGAAGTTTAAAAAAGCTAAAAAAGTTCTAAGATAAATAAAATTGTTATATATTGTTATATATATATAAATATAGTTGTTCTCAGGTTATATTGTAAGAGCAAAAATGTGTTTGAAATTAATTTCTTATAGAAGCACTTTTGTTATTATTTTGTATATATTGGGGCAAGGTACCATTTCTGATTACAATATTGATCTCCATTTTTTTCCATGTATATCTATATCCATATATCTATCTATATCTATGTACACTTAACAAAAATATAAACACATCACTTTTGGTTAAACCAGATACCAACCATTAAAAACCAAGGCTGCACCTTTCAGAGTGGCATTTTATTGTGGGCAGTTTAAAGCACACCTGTGCACTAATCATGTTGTCTAATCAGCATCTTGATATGGCACACCTGTGCGGTGGGATGGATTATCTCAGGAAAGCATGTATATATATTTTTTTCTTTTTTTTTCTTTTTATAGATAGAAAGACAGACAGATATATACTTTTAAAGATTAAAAAGTAACAAGGTTTCCTTCCTCCCTTCCTTCAATAATAATTTAAATGTAGGCCTGAAATTTAGATTTTTGATTTCCCTGAGTGCCGTATAAAGGGTTAAAATGATACGTCCTTGGCTCTGATTTAATTGGTTCTGAGAAAGGGTCGATAATGGATTATTGTTGCTAAACAACATCAACCAACTTGATTAAACAAGACATTGATGTGATTTGAAGAAGTCCATAAGATAATGTCTGTTTCCTGGAGTCAAATAATCATGTAATCCTTGATCTTATATCTGTTTCTTGTATTCAAAATATTTAATGGTATGAAACTTTTAGAAAGACATAAACCACCTGAAGGCTTCTAATTCTGCAGCTCATACTGACAAATAAATACTGATAAATGTAGAGCAACATAATTACATTTTGACAATAATTAGCGGCCCTAGGCTAGGATGGACATTAAAAGTGCTATACAAGAAAAAGATAATATTGGGTGAGAGGTGGGAGGGGCTGTGCAGCTCTACTGTAGAGCTGGACTGGCAGGGAGCAGCAAACACTGGTTAATTAATTATGGAGGCTGATGTGATGCTGAGGTGAAGGTAGGAGAGAGGGAGATGGGAAAGGAGGTGCAGGGTTAGGAGCATGTTTGGTGTAAAATATTAATCACTCGAGTATACGGGGTCACCCTGCAGCTAATGGAGGCCATATTGGTGAGGAGCAGATGTGATGAGCATACAACTGTTTTCCTCTAATGACTTATGGGTATGTTGTGGTGTTTATATTTTAGATAAAGTAAACAGAACATATGTAAATTAAAGTGAACTAAATTCAAAAAGCTCTTTCTATCAGTGACTCCTGTTTACTCTGGTTTTACGCTGTGGTGCCGTCAGCATAGTGTGGCAGAGAGGTAAGGTGGACAATTGAAGTAACGTGATTTGGACTCATGACAGTTTGAAATCTGTTGTGTTTCTTAGAAAAACCTAGAAGGTTACGTTCTTTTAAGAGTGACACATACAACTAATTAACGTTCATCCTAATAAGATCCGCTGTTGTTCTTGCATGTAATTGTTATGCACAATGCAAGCCTCTTGTCACAGTTTACTGTTGTGATTAATACAGTTGACATTTGCAAAATTGCTCGTAGTCAAAACAGCTTCCCCGGCCGAGTTAGAGAGCTTATATTGGCTGGCATTTAAATAAAGTGCTCTTTAATTTACACGGTTTTACCTGCCCTCCAGGCACTAGAGAAGGACAAAAAAAATAAGGTCTTATGATTTTCTGAGGCAAGTTCCCTTGAGACAAAGTCAGGTCAGAGGGGGTTTGTGAGTCTAATGCTTGTCCATTTAGCAGCCTTTGAAGCAATTTCTAAAAGCCAGTATAATGTTATTAAAATCTTGCATCGATTGTTAAATAATGAAGCCTAAAATTATTTTCTCAAACAACTCAATCAAATTAAGCTAGGAGAAGATTTTAGTATTGATCAGATAGCATCAGGATTGCATACTATGAGCTCATTGTTACTAGAAAATACTGATAAAGCTGGACTTTTGGTTTTCTGTCAGTTTCAAAGCTGGTGATTTAAATGGTGATTTTTCAGTACACATGAAGTTAAACGTGGTTTTTTTAACAAAGGGAAAATTATTTATTTTTTCCATTTTGGGATAAAATTACATGCCTATATCACTATATTTCTTTATTGTTTTTTTTTTTAAACATAAAAATGGAAAAGTACACGCTTTTTAGGGTTGGAAATATTAAAAGTACTTTGGTTGAAATATCCTTCGATTTTAAATATTTCATTTAAGAAAAACATAAAGAGAGAGGCCACTGAAGAGCTGACTGGAGTTTAACTTTTTTTTTTAATGATAAATGAGAAGAAGGTTCACAAACACAGATCAATAATTTTTAATTATGGCTCAAAATAAACACTGATTAATTTATTTATTCTATGTTTTAAATAAGACAGTACAGACATTTGGGAATATAGAAAGGTTTTTCATTTCAAACTGTTTTTCATTTAAAAGTAGATTTGAAAGTACGTTTCATTGTGTTCAGTGAAAAGATTTTAGGTCGTATACACCATAGATTGGACCTTCTCTCTAAACTCTGCAAGATTGGAAAACATGTTCAAGAAAGAAGCAGTTTTAAAAACATGCCTTGTCTCCATTGTTATGTATATAGGAAAATCTGAATCTTCCTATACGAGGAAACTCTGGTGCAAGAAATTTTACTTGGAGCAAACCACATTTTAATGCAATTTATTACCCAGTACTAGTTAGAAATTACTTTTAACATTTCTTCTGTTGTTCTGTTCATGGGGAGGAGGTTTTAACTAAAAACTGATGGTTGTTTGTGCACAGGATCTAAGATAATCCAGTGATTTACTTGAATTTAGCATTGGGAAATCAGCTGTGAGCAGAAGGGCTCTGCAGTACCGAAGAACACGCATCCTTGAAATGGGTCATGGGATTGGTTTTATACTACTTAAAAGGAAAAAAGGAAATTCAAGGGGAAAAAAATGTGTATAAATGTTTGTACTGTTTTAAATCAAACTTGCTATCTGTATTTAAATCTGTAAGCAGTAAGCCCACAAACTGCCACTTAAAGCAAATTCAAAATAAACTGGCCATGACAAATGCTTCATGTTGATTTAAATGGAACCTGACAGATAAATTGAACTCCCAGGTTATCTAACAGCACAATCTTAAGTGGGGTTGGAAGCATCAGTACATCATTGCCCTAAATTAAGTTGCTTTCCTCCATCTATCGAACAAATCAAAAGTGGGGGAGGAAGAGAGAGGGGGGAAGGGACGGGGCGTGTGTCTGCCTGGACTTACATTTGATGCGTGCTGCAGTTGTAGAACTTCACCTCCGTGCTGGCGACCATTTGACCCGTCTCGTTGGAATTCAGACGAAGCTCCACACCAGCCCAGTCTGAAAAAGAGGTTAAAAAAAAGCCCAGTTTGTTGAAAAAGAAGGAAAAACTGAAAAAAAAAAAATAAATATGAGTTAGAGAGCCAAAACATAAAGTGATGAAAAGAATTTTGAATGAGGAGAAATTTGTAAATTTTTCATGATTTTAGAGCAAAAAAACAATGTGATCTGTTGGCTCCTGAAAGGATCCTGGTATAAAGCTGCTGTCAAACCTTCAATCAAAAACAAGGATTTCTTTAAATGGGTGAAGGGAAATCCAGTCAACCTTTTCCTCACCTGAATTACTATATATTAAAAAGGAAACAAAATAGAAAACAACATCTATTTACGTTGAATGTGCCAATATGACATTTAAAACCTCTAAAATTCATCTAAATCCTCTTTGTACAACTTTGCAAAAACTCAACTTTGCTTCATTTAGCTAATTTTTATTGTAAGCCTATGTGACTCTCTAAACGTTGTATGATATAATTTATTTTCCTTTATGTTTCACTATAGAGTTTTTTTTCACAAGTTTTCTAAAGAATTCTTCTAAAAAAATCCCTGCAGAGGAACAATATCTCAAATTCATGCAATTAAGAAAAAGGGAAGTAAAACCAAACAAAAACAGGATGTGAGAGATTAATCCTTGATGTTCTTGAATATTTTCACCCATCATTTCTTTAGAAATCTCATTGCTGGTGAGAAATAAAATTCCATGCCTGGCAGGCTGTTATAGTTGGTATTTGTATATAGATTGAAAGTATTGATTGGTTTATTTGTTTTTTTCTCAAATTCTGCTATCAGCAAAGTGCCTTAAGATCTAATTGAAAATTATTGGCTTAGTTTTGATTTGTAGACAGCAGAACAGAACATCTCTTGGGTTTTGGAGAACTCTATGCATTAACGATTTGTTGATCTGATTTAAGCAGTAGGAGTGAATAAAGTTTGTAGATGGTTAAGTAGGATCTGAAAATGACTTTAGAAATTATTTATTCAACTTCTTTGAAGTTATGTATGAATAAATGAGAGGTGGTATAAATGAACAGCATAAAATATCTAAATGTTAATTTAGGGTGACACCTAAGAACATTAGATCTAAAATAATATCTACTTTTACTAATATTGTAAACTATGAATTTCTCACTATAATGAAAAAAATTTTCTATTTACTTTTTAATTTATTTTTTTTCTTACAACACGAATTTACATTTATTATATGGCATTAGGAGTGGAAAATTTTATATTTTCAACATAAAATTTATGTAAAATCTTCATGTTTTATTTACAAAAATATGACTTAGTGTTGTCCTGAACTGATGAGAAATACAAATTTTCTTCCCAAACTTTTATAATTCAGATTGTAGCTTTCAAATAATCTGTATTTATAAACTATATGCATCAGCTAATTCTGTTATTTTAGGATTCATTTATTTTCACAATATGACCTAAAGGGTGAAGTCATAGGTCAGAGTAAAGCTAATGGATTAAACAAAGTATGCATATTACCAGACACAACAATAATACATCATGCATCCGGATAAAATAGGGTGTTAATTAGCATTCAGCAGCTTTACTAAAAACTGTGGAGGTTTTATCTTCACCACTGGCTCATCTGTAGCACCTGGATGTGGTCCCTTTAGCTGCTTATCATACATTGTGCCTTTGTTGCTTCGCTGCCAGTGTTGTTTTTTGCAGCCATCTTAGATTTAGTCTTAGTCTTCAGGACGAAAACTATTATTAGTCTTAGTCACATTTTAGTGATTACGATATGTGACAGTTTTTGTTGGTTTTTGTTGGTTTTAGGCAGAATTTTGATTTATAGAATTCAAATAAACTTTTTTTTTATGAATTAATGCTCTACTTTAAAAAAAAAAAAAGTATCTCACAAAAGCTGTGAAAATAGTGGATCTAGTTCAACGCATCATATTGGTCAATATAGCAGACAGACAAGCTACTAAAATGTACAATAAAAGAATGGTTTTAGACATAAAATGTTTCCATCCAAAAAACAATACTTCCTGATCTACTATGAATTATGCATTACAAAAAGATCAATGAAATCTTCATTGCTCAAAAAAAAGCTAAGAACAAAAACTACTTTGGCTATTTTGGCTTTATTTCTGAGAATTTGCCCCTTAGTTACTGCTCCTCAGGGGTCAAAGTAGATTTAAATTCACAGGGTTCTCATATAAAAAAAATACAGCGAGAACCTTCATAATCACCTTTTAATGCCATGGCTATCCAGACCTAAATTGAATGATTATGCTAACTAAAATGTTGACATGTTTAAATGAAACAGAGAAAAATGTTTTCATGACAATACAAGGAAACATTTACATCATATTTAAATACATAGACATGAGAACAATGAGAGAAAAATATTCAAAGATCTACGTACCTTTTCACCTGGCTCTTTATCTAAAAATAAACAGTATGCAATAAAATATTTTCTTTGGATATAGTTTAGGGATTCCTTTGGGTAGAAATTAAAGAATGTTTTGTACCACCTCTTCTGATTTGGATGAAATAAAATATTGATAGTAAAGGGATTTTTTAAGCTTGGCAGAGGATGATCAGCCACATAGTTTATTAAGAAGCGAGAGCAGGAAGAGCCATACGAGTGGAGCATGGGCTCTACGAGTGCATAGTTGCATTTCTGCAGAAGCACAGATGAAAGATTCGACCAGTTTGTCCATTCGGGTTATTTTCTCAGACTCTGCCGCTCCTTCCATGATCCATTTGTATACATGCAGAATGTGTAGTGCTGCACTCATGGTGGGCAGCAGGATCAAACAAGATCCAGCAGCACAGCTGACCGTGCCTAGCAGATTACAGCACAATGATGCAGTTTAAACATCTGCATCTGACCAACGTATGACCCGCTAATTTTTATTTAGTCTCGTCGACGAAAACTCAAAACTACGACTATTCATGTTTTAGTCATAAAAAGATCCATGTTTAGCTTGTCAGTTTTTCATTATCAACATTAAAAAAGAAGTGTCATCAAAATTATGTTGTCATCTTCATCGTTGAAAAAACAACACTGTTTGCTTCACAACAGAAAACCCAAACAGCATTGGCAATGGGGTAGAGCGCACATCTCATATCCAGACACTCTAGTTCTTTAATGCTCTGTTCAGAGTTTGAGTCCTAACCTAGACACCTTTTGCTGTATGTCTTCCCCCTCTCTCGCAACCACATTTTGTCATATATCAAAAATATATATCAAAAGATTTGTGAGTACCACAAAAAAACATACAAACATTAAACTGTTTTTATCATAAGCTAATAAAGTAGAATCTAACAACTTTGGCCTTTGGTAGAATTCAATGTATCTCATAAATCGGCTCTTATCTCGGCAAAACAGATGCCTTTTCTATCATGTTTGCCTTAAAAGCGTAGCTGAGACGCAACTAACAAATTACTGTAGACAAACTACAGGGGTGTGTTGTGTACTCACGTGTGCAGATGCTAACTTACACTAATTCCGATCTCCAGGAATCTCCACACTATCTACAAACTTCCCTCCTACTGCCTAAATCAGACCAACACATCATTAATGCATACAGACTCCAGACCAAAGAGATGTACTCCTGTGATGTCTACAAATCAAAACTAAGCCAACAATTTTCAAGTAGATCTTAAGGCAATTTGATGCTAGCAGAATAGATAAAAAAAAATTTAAAAATCAATAATTTCAATCTATATACTGGCCATCATAAATTGTGTTAAAAAGTTCATTAAAATAAAATAGTTTCATAAAAATATATGTGTAATCAAAATGGTTTATGTCAACAGCTGATAAATAGTGGCATCCATTGGATCAACTATTCAGGCCACACACAGTTTCTAGATCTATTATCTGATCTCACCTCGTCCCTCCGGTATCTGGGGAACTTCCTTTGCGGCTGGGGAGAGACACATGACTCTATTCCCATTTACGTGGCCCTCTGCTTGGGCCTGCTGGCCAAATGAACAGGTGATTCCCGCAGAAAGATCTGGAACATTATTCACCTCCAGCAAGAGCTAGAAAAAATATGCAGAGTCTGATTTAATGATGGCAACAAATTGTACAACTAGAAAAGATAACACAAAATCAACATTAATGATTAATGAATATAAGATTCAAACTTTATATAATGTACGTTATAAACGCTTCAAAAGACCTTAGATAAAAGCCATTTTAAAAAGCTGACTCCTTTCCATATATTTTTATTCTCAGCTGTGTGCTAAATGAAAAAAATCTGCTTCTTGCCTGATCTCTAAGTTTCCAATGCATTAAATTCGGGCCTCATACACCAATACAGCTAAACCAAAACAAATCCAATAGATGCCCCACAGGGAGAAGCTACCTCCTGTTGCACTTCACTTCTCACAAAGCTAATATCTGTTGGGTCTAGACTTAAATGTACAAAAGGCTCCACAAGGCTACTCAAGGTGATTGCTTACAAACAATAGCATTTTGAGGGAAGTGACTGGGCAGCGATTGGTTGGAATGATAAGTAGACTTACTGGGACACTGTGTGCTGATACAGCGATACTGTCCGGGTGAGCAATAACCTTCACACAGCGGTCAATGTCAGTTGCGAAGCGATAGCTTTCTTCTGCCCTCAGACACCGATCTTTCCTTGAACACCTGTGGGGGGGGAAATATATGATTTAAATATATCTGAGTCTAAAAAAGCAATGCTTGTGTGATTCGTTTTTTTTCTCTGTAAAACTCAGCACTGTTTGTGTAAAACGCATAACTGAAAATAAGTGCTGACCAATGCAGGGCTACAGCTATCCTAATGATAGAGCCACAACTGTTTGTTATTTATCTCCACTGTTCAGGTGGACATTAATATGTAAAGAGGATCAGATTTCACACAAGTTATTTTTTTTACGCTGACATAAGCATTTGAGTTTCATTAAAGCAGCTTTAAAGTACTGGTAGATGTCATATATCCGCCTCCTCCCACATTCAAAAGGCATACAAATGCATGCATGTTTTTTTTAACTGGCCACTATAAATTGTCTTTAAAGGATAAGGAAAGAGACTCATTAGTGACACAAATGGCGCTGCGGGTAACTGCAGCCACCAGTGATGTTGCACTATTTCTTACGTAACTGTTCGCTACAATACCACAGATCATATTTTGTAGCAGCAACAAGCACCATGCCAAGCAAGTTTTCTACTACCGCTGAAACAATTGATCAGAGCTGTAGGGTGCGAATGCAGCATCAATTGATGTCACATCTGTAAGACTGCACTGGAAGTTTGGCCCCTTAACTGCAGCTGTTATGCAGCACACAGACTATTTAAGGCAATGGAGAGACAATGCAGGTGGGCTCATTAGTTGTTGTTTTAATGCTTCATCATCCATTAGCATAAAAAACTGGACAGGCATCTGTATTCTTTTAAAATTCCACAAGTTTATTTTGTGTTGCCCCATGATAGTCGGTCCGGTGTCTCCGTGTTGGCCTTTTAATAGACACATCGGCGTCGCCAGACCCCATTTACTGGGGCACGTGCCCCAGTATAAATGAGCTGTGCCCCAGTATAAATCTCATGAATATTTGCAATAGTGATACATTTCTTTTATGCATCAATTTAGATAATTCCAACAGGAGAAGAAGTATATTTCTACTCAAATGCGTAGCAAGTGTGTTGTTAACTCCAAATTGAGGATGTATTAGCGCCCCCACGTCAGCGCATGTCACTGCATGAACTGCAGGTAAACTAACGCGCTGCTCTCAACTGAGTTGGATGGGACACTGTGCGGCCGCGACGCATTTTTCTTTTAAATTGACAGGTAAGAAACGTTGTTCTGGTAACGTTTCTTACCTGTCAATTTTATTATTTTCCCAGTGAAACCACATGATTTATAGGCTACTAACTGAAAATTACTGCATTGGTTTGTAGATGAATATCAGGAAATTCCTCACATGAAGCAGAGACAGGGAAGCAGTAAAACAAGATGAGAGAGAGGGAGGTAAGGTCCCGTGATGAATCAGTGATTTAAGCTGACTAGTTACATTAGGAATGTTATAAGCAATATGATAGATATTTACATAATTATAAATTTACGTTTTTTAATGTTTGCTGTAGAGAATGAGAATGAAGGTGCTGGAGTAGGAAAGGGAGGAGGAGGCGAGACTGACAGGCAAGAGACAGGTGAGAGACAGGAGAGACAGGACCATGAAGGTGATGAGGGAGCAACAACCAGCTTCCACAAACAAGAAGGGGACATTAGTGAATTAGGGGGAAAGCATGATGGTCCTAAACAAGTGAAGTTGTCCCACTATCCCCAGGACAAATTTGGAGTAAAAAAAACTTTCATTTAATTCAAAATGGTTTGAAAGCTTTTTATGGTTGAAAAAGACAGCCTTGTCATCAAGGATATGCAGTGTGTTTTCAACTTGCTTGATAACACCATGTTCCCCACACTAACGCAGGTCATCCAGATCTCCCTCACAATCCCAGTCTACAGCTGGAGTTGTGAAAGGTCATTCAGTGTGTTGAGAAAGCTCCACACTTGGCTGAGGTGCACAATGGGACAAGACAGGCTCCATCATCTTGCTATTTTATCAGTTGAAAAGGAAGAACTTTCTAAGCTGAGTCACAGTCTAGTGATTGACCGCTTTGCAAAAATGATAAATAGGAGGTACACTTTAATGCTTATAAAATAAAATAAAAACTTAGTTCATGTTGAGTTAAACTTTCCCCTGAAATAAAACTCTGAAACCTAGAAATTAATGATTACTTCAGAATGTGTATAAGGAAATTTTAGATTTTTAAAGTTGGTGATGTCTTATTTTTTATAGCTGCAATGTTGAAAATGTTCAACATCGCAGCTATAACATTGTTTTAACAAAGAGTATATTTGTTAAAACAAATATACTCTTACACTCATTAATATCTCAACTAGTATTTTTGGTAGGAATATATCAGGGTGGGGCAGTGTGCTTGTCTGTATTTGTGTATGGAAGGATGGGCATATGCGGTAGGGGGCCAGTGCCCCAGTAAAGCTTTGTGCCTAGCAACGCCCCTGAATAGACATGTGACCTCTCCTGGTTGTAAATCATCTCAACAACTCATTGATTGACCACTGCTGACAACCAAAAGTGCTCCCATGTTAAAAATGCATGGGAAATATGTGTTAGGCCAGTATTTAATAAGTCCATCCATCCATCCACTCCCTGCAGTAGACAAGCTCCCAGTCCATCTCAGACCCTATGTTGGAAATGCCCTTTTCTTATTTCATAAACTGGATTGTGCAAAAGTCTCTGAGTAAATTCAAGTTTGTTCCCAGTGCAAATGGGAGTCAACAGGGGCTGCATCTTGTCTCTTATCTTGTTTTTATTCTTCTTGGAAAGTATTGCAAGGAGTGTAGAAAGGAGGATAATTAGTTTGGGAACCTCAAGATTTTATCTTCACATCCTACAGATGATATGTATCCTTTGGAGCTCTTCTCTTCAAATGATGACCTTCAACATGAACTGTAGCAGTTTAGGGCCAAATGAGAAGCCGCCAAGATGTGAGTCAGTTTCTAGTCTTAAGCCAATGTCCTCTTTTGGGAAAAGGTGGGTTTTTCCGTGTGAATAACTTTGCTTTCCACCACTGTTTGTCTCCCACTCCATTCTACCGTTTCTCTTGAGACCAAGATTAAATTCCCTTATATCCCTTATAAGGATGAAAAAGTTGATCTAGTGTTTTTATTAATAACGGTATGATTGTAAAATAAGTTTATGTTCTCATTTATTCCACTTTTTAGGTGATGGATCAATCAATCAGCTCTCTCAGTTCCCCGATTCTCGTTGCTTAAAAGTCACTCTAAAAGGAATAGTACACCCAAAACATGATTAGCCTTCATTTTCTACTCACCCCCATGCTGAACAACACTCTGGAGTACTTTTTTGATATCTCAAATGCATCTGGAGATCTGGGAGGCTTCTTGCTGTCTGCTGACATTCAAATAATGGAGGTCTATGGTGCCCGAGGCAGAAAGGTCCATAAAAGTCCACAAAAAACGTGTCAATATTCCTCCATACTGCTCGTCCAATGTATTTCAAGTGTCCTGAGGTAGGTAGCGTCCATAATTTACTCGAAACAAAGTCATTTAGAATGTTTTTAGAGCATAAACAGTAGTGTATAGGATTTCCTCAAAGCGCGCGCCTGCGAGTTCACGAGTCTACGGAAACCGCGGCAGACCAAACCAGATGAAAGTGCGCATTCAGCTCGGCAAAGAACTCATGCTCTTCCTCAACACTGAAGTCCTCAGACATTTTTCTTTCGTTGTTTCTTTCTTTGCACAGGTAAACGGTACATTTCTTCTTCTACGCTTGCATTATTGGCAGAGCAGACGCTGAATGCGCACTTTCCTCTGGTTTGGTCTGCCGCAGTTTCCGTAGGCTAGAGAACTTGCAGGCGTGCGCTTTTAGGAAATCCTATACACTACTGTTTATGCTCTAAAAACATTCTAAATGACTTTGTTTCGAGTAAATTATGGACGCTACCAACTCAGGACACTTGGAATACATTGGACGAGCAGTATGGAGGAATATTGACACGTTTTTTGTGGACTTTTATGGACCGTTCTGCCTCAGACGCCATAGACCTCCATTATTTGAATGTCAGCAGACAGCAAGAAGCCTCCCAGATCTCCAGATGCATTTGAGATATCAAAAAAGTACTCCAGAGTGTTGTTCAGCATGGGGGTGAGTAGAAAATGAAGGCTAATCATGTTTTGGGTGTACTATTCCTTTAAGCAGTCACTCAGGGTTTCCCTACTTTTTATCTCCACAAACTGATTGCATAAGAAACACATTGGACAGTAGCATTACATAAACCAGTATCACAAAGCCAGTTATTTTTTTAATTTGACCGTCTCAAAAAAGTATGTTAAACAGGCTTTAATTTTTGCTTGTCTCAGAGTTAAATACAAAGCAATTGGCTTAAATCCTAAATCCTAAAACACAATTAAAAGTAATGAGTTAAAGGATGGGCAGCATAGCAGGACATCGCAGGGATTTTTATAAGAGAAGAAAGCCCCATTGAACATACACTTAAACTATAAGTGGATACTGAAAATGTCAGGCAGTTTGTCCAGGCTTGCAAAGGGGGATTAGCTTTGGAGATACTTTTTGTTTCACCAATACTAATCTATTTGAAACTGGTTCATCTTTCAAACAGCTTTTTGATAGAAAATATTGAATGTCAGACATAAGCTGTAAAGCTGAGCTGGTATAGTAAACTAAGGGAGTTATTTAGATGTAAACTATCATGTCTTTCTCTGAAGGCATAGTAAAAGGTGGCAGTAGTAAGACAGACTCATATGCAGCTGAGAGGTGGCACCTCCTGAGAGAAAGCTGAGTCTTGTGCTGTAATTATGGCTCGCTTTAAAGATGGATTAGAAATACAGAGGCAGCTGTTGATGCTCTGCTCCTTGAAGCACACAAGCCCAGATCACCTTCTGACCGCTCATCAACAAAAGTGTCAAAGAAAATAGGCACCTTTCATCTCTGCCCCTCTTTCATTGCCTTTTATTTTGTTTCTTTTATTCACTGTGGGTTTTTTCATTTCTTTTTGTCTGATCAAACCATTTGTTCCTTTTCTTCCCCTTCAGGCTTTTTACATGTGCACAAACAACCCTTACCCACTCTGTTAGAAAGGTGCTTTGGTGCAAATCACCACGGGTGGGAAAGTGAGATGCTGAAAGCAGTCAACATGACACTGTGAGTGTCATTCAGAGAGCTGAAAAAGACTCCAATCTGAATTTAATAGGGCAGAAAAACAATGTAGTTTTGCTCTGCAGTGTGGGAGATTGTTTTGAAACTGGAGGGAACAGCAGCCTGTTCACTTGCTGATGACTTTAAATCAAATAAATAATGTAATGAGATTTACAGACAGGAGTAGTTTTAGGGGGAAAAAACCTATATTATGTAGAGTATTTTGGATCTTAAAACATTTTTTTTCTATTCTCTAAGTTTGATAACATTGAGGGCTTTAATTTAAATAATGCTGATCATCATCAAGATATTGCTAGCTTGAATGCAAACGAAACGATGAGACAAGAATAAATCCCTGACTGAATTTAGCTTCAAACACAGCGGCTGCTGCAGAAATGCACACTTTTAATCTTCTGAATCCCCTTTGCTCCATATCGAACTGTTATGCAAGCTAACCTGGGGTCAGATAATTAAGATGGAGGAGATAAAGCTTGCTCCGTCAGGTCCAAAGTCCAAAATGCTCTATGGGTAAGTAAAAAGTGCAGCTGCTGCGCTGGCTGTGACTGCAAGGCTAATCCCTCTTTCCTCCATTAACACCCGTTGTCCTTTCGTTTGGCAGACAATGAAATCTGGAGATCATGCAGCTTCTGTTTTCCTAAATGCCGCACTTTATCATGGATCACAAAGTCCAGAAACCACTTCCCTCATTTTCCAGATGTTAATGGGGAGCTCCAGAGACTATAATAGGAGTGCTATATCAAACTGCACAAATCATGGGCTTAACCTCGCTCAGCTTTCCTGCAAGCAGTTTGGTAAACAGTGATGTTAGAATTTTAATCCATCTGCTTTGGTGGGGGTATGAGAAAATAAAGGGAATAGACTCACATGTTGTACAGCACACACCAGCCACAGTGGGGATCACCAGCGCTGAGGCACTCAACACATGTACCATACTGTTCACAGGACTCCACTGGGACCTGGACCACCTGGAACGGAGGAATGACAAGAGAAAAACAAAGTGTGGGAGGTCAATAACAGCTGGGAGGAAGTACAAATTTGAGAACAGACTATTAAATATGGTACAGTGCTGACTTAAATATTTATTTATTCCATTATTGTAAAAGTTTAGCCAAGACAATAGCCAGATAAAAACAAATTTATACTTAAAATGAAGGCAGAAATACAAAATAAAATCTAAAAACTGTGGATTTTATGGAACACTTGCTCAGTTAATGTAATTCAATTCATATTAAATTATAACTTTGACCAACTAAAGAATGTACTGCAGCATAATGCTTTAGTGTCTATAAAGTCGCCTTATTTCTCTGGGTTTCAGGGTTAGTAGTCCTCTCTTATTTAGGTGTATCACAGTACATTCTAATTTTATAAAACATGAACCATTTTTCTTCCACTTCATAACTATGTACTGGTGCATGTTGAAATTTAAATAAAAAATCCTCCAATAATTGTGAATCTTTATGCATTTAACGTACCAAAATATTAAAAGAAATTGTTCAATGGGTAGGAATACTTTGGCAAGATATTTTGCATTTATTAGCATGCAACTATACCGAGCAGAGGAAGCAATTTTACCCATGGAGCAAACACAGAATAATTAAATTAGATAATTGGTCTCAAAGTTTATGTTTAACCTTATAGTAAAGGATTTCTTGAAAAATTCCCCTTTAACAGAAGTCTCAAACTTTGGCCAAGTTTGACAACTGCTGCATTTTACAGCCATCCCATTTTCCTTTATCCCAGTACATGAAAAAACCTGAAAGAAAACTTACATACGTTATCTTCCCCTTAAATTTAACCTTAACGTACTGCAGACATACACGCCAGTCCTGCACGAATGTCCAGCAAATTATTAGCTTTCTCTTAGCTGCTAGAAGTTGCTGCCTTTACACCATCCATGCGTAGCCATTTAGAGCAGCAGCCTAAACATTTCTGGCTTCTACTGTGTTATTATTCTAGGTTTGTAGATCTGATGCACACAATTTCCTGATGTAAGCAATCAGAAATGAAGAGTGGATTATGGATTAGAGTGTCTCCGGTGCTCTTGATAGCATAAGTGGGTGCTCTCTCAGGTCTGTGTAGGCAAAATGGATTATCTGTTGCTCCCTACAAATAACTGTCCTTTTTTTTCTTAAACAGCAGTTCAGAGCCTGTCCGTGGCATTCCATTAGCCAAATGATTTTGTAGTGTGGGAGGGGCTGAGGGCTGTAATCTATGAAGACTGGTGGTCCAGAGCTCACCCAAACTGACATCGTTGGTCTGCGGATTGTAGACAGCATGACCTTTACAAGGGGAGAGCAATGGATCCGCTTTCTAGGAGCTTACAAAGACTAAAATGTAATGCTTGCTCTGCACATCAGGTATTATTTGTTTAGCGGATCTGTCTTGAGCAAGAGCTTATTGAACTGAACCCAAAATGATTAAAGGTCTCCTAAGGTCTCCTTTAGAGAGATTAGTGTACTGAGTGTGCATTTTTAAAGAGCCCTTCTTTTGCATAGTAAAGGTACAGTGGACTCATCATCATATATTGAGGTGAACTATAATTTTCATAATATTTGGAACTAAAACAAAACTTCCATTGAAATGTTGTGGCGGTCCATTATCATTTTGGCAGTATTAATATGGCCCTTGTTAAGGCATGGGGTACCACAGTTGCAGCTTTTATCTTTTCAAAAATTGGGCAAGTTCGTTGGGGGTTAAATACGGGGGAAAAGAAATGTTTTTAAAACACACGGATGGGTCCAACAAGAAAGGTTTGGGAAAAATGGGTTTGAGTATGTAAGCCCGGTTTGTGACTTTGAAGCTATTCAGACTGTGCAAATCAGGTAAGTTATTATAATGCTCTTGGAACCTTGGGTGTGATGCATATCAGATCCAGCAGCTTATGGCTTCAGCTATAAGGACCTTACCGACAGCGTGCAACAAACAATCCGCTCTCTTGATATAAATAAAAACCACAACTCATTAAGGCTCTTCACACAACCGGTAGAAATCAGTATGCTTCAGGTTTCCTGCTGGGGTGAGGATACCAGTTCAGGGTATGTGCATACATATACAAACTGCTTCCCATTTGCATTCTGAATATATGCATGTTGCATTGTATTTAATATGCAGGAGAAAGAAAAAGAATAAAGTGCAGCTCACAGAGCATTATGTATATTTGAGAACCCTTTCAAAAAGTGGTAACTACAAGGAGAAAATATTGTTCAATGGAAACAGCTTGTTTTTTTTTTTGTTTTTGTTTTTTTTTACTAAAGCAACATTAAGCAATTCAGGTTTATTGTAAGTTTACTGTATTTTCTGTACAACCAGGGCAGATGTAGTCATATTTTAAATTTTATGAAGTGAAATACAACCTTCAAAGGAAACTTAACCCTAACTGACTCTAATTGAGATTGCACTGAGAGATTCAGCAATGAAGAGACCCTTATACCAAAGGGTGGGGGTGTTCTAGAAACTAGTTTAAACTGTATCTCAACAAGTATTTTTCAGATGCTTTTTGTCTATTTCTTTCATTGATTCAATATAACTTATGCTAATTAGAACTGTGTGTAGCATAGAAGAAGCTTTTAATACTAATAATTTGGTTCCTCAAGAAATGCGATTTGGGAAGTAATGTTTTTTCTTTTCCCTTTTACCTTGAAAACATTTACTTTTAATTATAGGTTTCAGTGGTAGCTGATTTGAATCACCTTCTATGTTTAAGCAAATACCAAAATAGCCATTTGGTAGATAATGAGTTTAAAAGGAGTTAAAACATTAAAACCTTAAAAGAAACATAGAAACAAAAAACTCATTAAGACCACTTTAAAAGAGCATAGGAACATACGGCCATTGAATTACTACAATGTAAATAATTTAGTAGTGTTTTAAAGACTTAAAAAATAATATAAATAACCAACAAATAGTATTTGCAAATTATTACCTTAGCCTTAATAAAGACAGGATGTAATCTATTTGCATTTTGACTGCAGTATTTCCTCATCCCAGTAGAATGTATAATTGCACTGTTGTGTGTTCACATTTGCAGCTCCAAAAAACATCACCTGTCATGCATATTTAATACATTTTATTTGTGTATGTCAATGCTCTAAAACATTTATGACAGCACAACACATCTAACATCCATCCATCTTCCGTCAGGGTGGTGGTGGAGCCGGTGCCTATCTCTGGCAGGCTATGGTTGAAAGGTGTGGTACACCCTGGACAGGTCGCCAGTCTGCTGCAGGGCAATAAAGGGACACACACACTCACACCTAAAGACAGTTTAGAGATGCCTGTGATATTAGGCTGTGAGAGGAAGCCAGAGTACTCTGAGAAAACCCACACATGCACGGGGACAATATGCAAACTCTATGCAGAAAGAGACAGGAATCGAACCTGGATCCTTCTTGCTGTAAGGCAACAGTGCTACAAACTGCGCCACTCTGCAGCCAGTTTTATAGTTTCCATTTTCCCAGAAGAAATCAATCAATCCAAACAAATTCTGCAACCAATAATAATTCATCTGAGGCTACTTCCTTTTAAATGCCTTTCAACAGCGCCAGTCACAGCTGAGCTGGATAAGCACAGCATTACATCTAGCTTTGGAGCATTTTGAATGAGAAAATTATTCCTCACAACATCTGGAACATCCTCCAAGTATAGCGTGGCCTTCTGATGGACACAATTTGCCGCCACTTTACTGTTTTATCCGGATTAACTGGAAGTTTATAAATGAGGCCAGATAAATGTACAGGCATTTAGAGCTCTGCAGTGCTGACATCCTATACCCTCACTCTGATTTGGTAAATCCTTTAGAATAATAATATCATGTGATAGCAGAGTATTTCAGCTCATATCTGGACAAAATAATGTGGGAACCTTTTTTTATATTATGTCTCAGACTCAAGTGAGTTATTTTGGTACATAAATTGTAAAGATTTTGCTCTTCTACTTCAGTTATTTAACACTCACAGTAATGTTGACAAAGTTAGCTGGTTATGATAATAACTACCTGTAAGCTGGTTGAGCTTAGCTCTTCACTTTCACTAAATACAACAAGAACCCTTTTAGCTATTTTACAAAAATACTAGAATCAGTTGAAATAAAAAAAAGATGGTTAAGATTCCATAAAATTGAAGAAGGTAGGTTGCAGCGTCATCAGCAGGTATTTCAACATCAATAAAGGCCAGATGTTTTCACAGTTTGACAAACTGGTGTAATACCCGAGACGAGTAGTTTCCAGACCACTCTATGGTTCAGTCTCACCTCAGACTCAACCAAATACTTACCTGGTCATGTCTCTCTTAGACACTGATGACTCAGGCTTTTTTTCAACACCAACTAAGAGCAAAGCTGTTGAAATATCTTTAAATTCAGTTGTTGTTGTTTTTTTAAACTTTTGATTTGTTTCATGTAAGTGCAATGATTCAAATCTAAGCTATGACGTAGATAATTATATGTTTATGTTACTGCTGTGATGGCTTTCCTCCTCACTCGTGCTCCAAGACATTGAGCCGCAGTTGCCTGGGAGCAAGATAAGAGGATGTCTGTAAAATCTCCAGTCAAACAGTTGAACTGCATAAATCATGCAGAATATATTTGTGAGATATCCATAAGTAGGCAAATTATGACATAAATATTCTGCTTTGCTTTCAGAGATGGCGGGAATTACATCAAACTTTATCAAAAAGAAAGAAATCATAAAGAAATCATATATATATATATATATATATATATATATATATATATATATATATATATATATATATATATATATATATATATATATAGTATTAGTTGCAAGAGCTGATGACATTACCGTAGTTAAGCTCATCTTGGCAGATCTAATCAAATATACAAAGCTCTTTGAAAAACAGGTGAAATTAAACTAGAATCAGCAGCTCTAATTAAGCAACAAAGTAAATGGTGGGATGACTCATGCTCAAATCACCGAATAAAAGCAGTAGAAGTAAGACAGGTAAGGACTACAGGAACTGGCCACAAATTAGGAATAAAAGTAAAGTCAATCTTTTAGCTGCATATGCTGTTTTGCTACAGAACAGAAGACAGTGAATTAAAATCCTAAAAAGACAACATAGAAAAAGAATAAAATTGAATATAAGAGAAATAAAGTAAGAAAATGAAACATAAGCAGCCAAGGAGAAAAAAAGAAAGAAAAAAAGCCAATCTGAAGTTTTATTGTTAACATTCAGAGCTTTTCTGTCTTCTTAATTAAAAATGCTGTAATTTTCCAAATAATTTATAAATTAATAGACATTGGAAAAGGTTCAAGTCAATACTAAAGTTCTAAATCTATGAATTGCTAACTGTAAAAATTATCATTTGATTTTACCTGGACAGTCAAACTGGGAGACAACCTGGTTTAAACAGGATTTATAATAATAAAAGCTGTATTTATAATAATTATAATATAATTGCATTAGATAGATAGATAGATAGATAGATAGATAGATAGATAGATAGATAGATAGATAGATAGATAGATAGACTTAAGATTAAATTGTGTGAAACACAGAACAGCTAACTGGTTGTTAAGTAAAACTTTTCTTATCAAACTTTGCACAAAGTATAGAAGAAAAATAAGAAGAGCAATGATGGTCTTATCTCAAAATTTACAAAAAATTATATCTGATATTGACAGGCTTTATTGTTTATTTCCTTTTTTGATATATAGTTGGAGTTTTGCTTTTTTGATCATGTCTCATTCATGAGTCCTTCAGTGTTTCTTTCCCATTTCTTTTTTAGGTTGGAAGATGGGAGCCTTTCTTTGTAAAGACTAACCAAAAACAGCATAGCATTGTAGTGAAAAGAAGGAAACTTTTAGAAACTTATTGTGTGCTCCCTAACACACACACTGTCAAGATCAAATGAAGAGTGTCATATTTCATTAGAGAAACACGGATTTGATATTTAGAAGAGTTCATTCAAGCAGATATTGTGGGAGAATTAAGTCTAAGAGGACGAAGATCTGTATGGATAGTATTTCAAGCAATTATTCAGCATTTCTGTGGCATTCTGTGAGATTTTCCAGGAAAAAAAAATAACTTGACGCATCCTCCAGTTTACTCTGTGGCTAAAAGACTTCAACCACAGACAGATGAATTAAACTCTCTGAGTCATGTGTTTGGATTAAACATGTTCTTGGTGTTAGACATGATCAAACTACAGGGACATAATGAAAAAAAAACCCATAGAAGGCTGTTAGACCTTTTTTCACATCGCAATTTCTTCCACATTGTCTTTGAGAAAAACACCCTTACTGTATATCCACACATAAACAGCCTGTTTTGCCTCACCCTTAATCATCATGCTAGACCTGCCTGTTTCAACACGGCGGTAGACGGAGGAGCTCATTGTCATTCCACATGGGTCGGCTGATCTTTCTCTGCCTTGGTCGTCATTCCTCATCATGGCTTCCACCAATCTGAAAATCTCTCATAACTGGGATCCACTAGAGATGTGGGGAATCTGTGAGTGAAGCTCCATCTCTTGGGGGGGATTCCTTAACAGAGCTGCAGGAGAGTCTTTTGGGGAGTGTTCAGCAAAGATGGAGATGGAGACAAAAGGAGGAAGGCTTTCCTCCCCTCAAAGCTTGTGAGGGCTACAAAACCAAAGCTGTTCTAATATTGAGAGGAAAAAGCTCGGTCAAGCAGGCTTTTTGGTCTCCTGCTTGGTTATTATGCACCACAGAGGGAGATATGAGCAGAGAAAGTAGCAAGCAATCTCCTTGAAGGAAGCTTGCATCTCTCCTTGAACAACCAGAGCTCATCAATAAGTGATGCTCTGTCTCTTCCAGTCAATCACAAACACAAGAAGTGCCTTGATTTGTTTTAGAAAATTGTACTCCACACAGTTTGTCTTTATTCTCCCCCCAAGCTTCCTTGATGACATCCCTTGTTCCCTTAAACTTTATACCTTTAAAGATAAATTGATTTTAAAGTTAATTTCCATACACGTGAAAAGAGTTTGAGCTGCTCTTTAATAAGCGGCGCTGCTGTGATTGCCCCGGCTGGCCTTTGGCTCTCTGTCTTGTGACTCTTCCTCGGTAGATTCCAGCAGAGAACGGTGATAGGGGCTTTTTCTGGCCACAGTGAAACCTAATCCCATTTCACAGTGGCAGGCCATCGTGCCAAAATAATCACTTGATGGGAGTTGAAAGTGATTACCAATGTTCTCTCTTATCTGCAGTGAGGGCAGAGAATATCGTCAGGCAACAACCTTTTGCCCCTATGATGGTGAGCCAAGAGAAGAGCAAAAGAGGAGGACACAATCACCCAGAAAAAAAAAACAGCCTTCAGTGGCTTTCCACGGTTTGTATGTCAGGAGCACTTACAAAAGATGCACGCTCTGTAAGTCGATTCGCTTGGATAAGTAATTAGAGCAGTGGTCCATCCACTCACACACAACCTACATATTTAACAATGCCTTCTGTAGCCGTGAATTTAAATGTTCTCTCTTTGTTTTACTGATAAGCCATTAACATCTGTTTTTTTTCCTCATTTTTAATTCTTTCTTTTTCATTTTAATTTGTTTAACTGCTAGTTTTTAAACTGCAAAGACCTGCTCCAGCAGAAATTCTGAAGAAAGCAAACATTTCTATTTGCAGCTTCCTGAGTTGTTGAAACCAGGCAAAACGGTTCAATAGAAAATAGAAGAATTATTATTGTAAATGTTTCTTAATTTCATTGACCGAGTACCAAATACAGTTAATAAACAGAAAATAATTTTAGCATCAAATAGAATTTCTACTCCACATTTCCATGCTACATATTCAGCAACTCGCTCAAGGGCACATCAGTATTCTGAACGCTTGCTTTCAAAGTGACTTGAACCCGCAGGCGTCCTCCAGATTTTAGGCTTTCAGTGCTCGCTACCTCCCCGTTCAGCTTAGCGGGTCTCCTGACAGCTGAAAAATCAGGGTGTTTCCTCACCTGATAGTCAGACATGACATATAGTGAGTTCCTGTCCAGGGAGAAAGCCATGTCCCGGAGGATTGGGCTGCTGTCCTTCATCACAGTCAGCGTCTCATACAGCATTCCTCCTTCCTGAGCTCCATCCACCCTGATCTGAAAAGACATGGAAAAACACAAACAATAGGAGTTAGAGACACACTGTAAGGATATATACTCACTTTTAGCATCTGTAGACAATAGATTCAAACCTGGTAAGGAACTAGAAAAGGAATTTGGCTCATCATCATCGGAAAAAAAATTATTCATTTTTTTCAATCCGTTCTGTTTGCAAAATTTTTGACAATTTGATCACATTGAATATGAAATATTTTCTTTTTCACACACATACTGATCTGAATAGTTTTAGTTTGCTAAAACAAATTTTAGTCTATCATAGATGTAAAATATAATAAAACTATAAATTACTGAGAGTTTACCTGTAAATGAATTTTAATTATATTTATATAAAAAAAAACATATTAGCAATAACCTGACCTTAATAACCATATTTTTTTATTGATATACAAGAGGTTATTTATTTCTCAATTTTTTTTTATTTTTTTTTACAGTGTCCTGTCTGGCGATGTGGCAATACAAATAACTGTCTTGATGCCAAAAAGAGCCCAACAGATTTGACTTTCACAAGTGGAGCAGTAAGGCTATCGCCATAGTGTTCCACTTGTTTTATGCAAATAAATTGCTTTATTATAATTATGCAGGCAGTTTTACAGCTTATATGGACACTGTAATGTAGGTAGAACAGGAAAGGAAAAACAGAAAAAAAGGAGAAAAGATGAAAGAAAGAGGAGATAAAAGTGAGATAATAATAAAACATTTTCAGTCTGCTTCATCACCTGCAAAGAGATGTAAAAAGAACAGCACAGCCAACAGACATGGTACGAGACATACAATAAAGTAACACCTAGATACTATCACTGAAGTATAAGTAGTATTATTCTCTATCCTACTGTATACACAGAGCAAAGCGCTTATTGTTACTGTGGTTGTAGTCAGACCATCCACCTTATATGCACTGTGCATTTCTTCATCATATACAAAAAGGTCAGATTTGTCCTGTAGGATGTGGATGATGCCCAGCAAGAGGTCACTGCTTGAAAGGAGTTTTGTTAAAAAGCGGGTTGGGAAGACTTGGGAAGAGAAGAGTTCTTGTTTTCTTTTTTTTTCTTTTTTATGTTGGACTTAATGTAAAAGGAACTGGGGCTTTTTTGATTAAAAATCTTTTTGATCAAGTTTTACTTCTAAAGATGTCTGCCTTTAACAAAACACATAATTGATTTTTAGGATAGTTTGCACTGATTTATCAGAATTGCCAGTTACTCCTAATTCAGAATTCCTAATTTGAAACAACTGAAAAAGACAGAAAAGGAAATAGCAATGCTTTTATACTAAAGAACATCATGCCTACTGTGAAACATGAAGAAGAAACATTTTATTCTGATGCATGTTTTGCTGAGTTCACACAAGAAAAGTTGTATCTGTGCTGAGCACAACGAAATGTTGAGACTACAAAGGCCTCTAGATGGGTTGCAAAGATTCATTCAAATATGACTGAACTAGTTTAGCTTTCTAAATACGATGCAATATTCTTTTGGAACATAGTACAGGGGTGAAACAGTACAGTTTTTACAGTTTGTCAATTCCACTTGATTCTCAAAGCATTAGTTAAAAACTACTGTCTATTTTGGATTTCTTTTTTTTTTTTACATTGTTTACAACCTTTTTTTACTATTTTCACCATTCAAGGAGCGCTAATAGATCCTTTATGTTCTATTACATACATCTAAAAACATTATCCGTGCAAACCTTGGGCACTTTGACAATCATTCTTCACATCCACAGACTTCACAACTCAAACTGCTAAAATGTGTGAATGTCCCCTTAGCTGCTCGAAGTGGACACACCAGAAACGTGTGTGAAGGGAAGATTCAGCCTTCACAATACGCTAATACTTTGCCAGAACATTACAGAGCTCAAATCATAGACATTAAATCAATGTTTCTGAATTTTTATTTTTTCATCTCCCCTAAAATCCATAAGAAAATTTCCGAGATGTTCATCTCACAGAACTTGTTACAGTTTAGGTGCACACAAACAGTTACTCTGACTTTTACAAAAAAATTCCTCCCCAAAGCAAACATAACAGATGTAGAGCAGTTTTCACTTTTTCTTTCCACTTTAAAAATGTGAGCTGTTTCAGATCAGCATAATAATAAAAAGTGGGTCTTAGTTCAAATTATGTCTCTGATGCAGAATCATTCAATAGGTAGCTTATTTTTTTTATCAGATCTACACCTATGCAGTGCTCTCTACGTAATAAAAGCTATATGTCAATTTTTTTTAAATGGCCCTTTCCTTTGTAGTCACGAAAAATACCTGTATTTGTAAAACAAAGCCTATCTCTGTCTCTGCAGGAATAAGGTAGACAGTATTCTGCATTAATGATAATTTCACACACAGTAAAAATCAGAAGTGTGAAAAAAGGCACTCAAGTTTGAATAAAAGCAAAATAGACGGAAACGCAAACAAAAAAACCTTATTAGCTATGCAAACCCAGACTGAGGCCCTATTTAAATTCCATGGAAATTGGATTGTTTGCGGTGTGATGCAATTATAGTAAAGCTGAATTAATTTCCCAATCATAATAATTAAAAGAAATGCAAGATCACGAAGACCTGAAGCAGGGAAATTGTGGAACTGTTCTCAAACTGCTGCAGCGTGATTATGCCACATCTTCCCTGCATGAATCCGAGCACGTGGCCTCGCCAGCCAAATCAAATTTGACTGCAGATGGTTTTGAGCGTTTGCCAAGTCTAGCTCATACAATGTGGCAGAGCCTCAGCATTCTCTCAGTGGGGACAATCAATCAATAGAAACTGATTACATGATTGGATCCCCCAGGCACCAAAACTTCATCAATCAATCAGGGCTCCACCTTCCAGGCAGATGTGCCTCGCCAACAGTAAGCCGAGGGAGCCAGGAATAAAAAACAAGGGGTGTTCCGAAAAGGGGCGTGTTTTAGTTTAGGCAGAAAAGAGGTTAGAAATAGGAGGACATGGCTGCAGTTTTTTTCTTTTCTTTTTTTGCAACTCCATCCAGGAGCAATAGTGATAGGACAGTTTTATATTTGCAAATCATCTAGTCAGCTCTGCCTTTTCAGGACTGTTTATTACCTCTCTCTATGTATATTTTCGATTAAAAGGATACTTTACACACAGCTTTAAGTTCACAGTAGGATTCTTGTTCTTTCTAAAAGTCCCAGTCAGTAATATATGTTAATTTTGCCACGCTTTTCTGCACTCCTCTGTTTATGAATAGCTCTCGAAAAAAAAAAGTAAGAATTCTCTGGTGAAATACGTCTATGTATAACCCCCCCACCAACACACCCACACACACACCAAGAGGACAAATATATTGATTTTGTGGCATTTTGGTATCATGAGAGTGGCTGAGGGCTAGAGGTAATAAAATGAGCTCTGACCAATACTGACCCTTCATGACTGATCCGTAGGGCTTGATTTCAGTGCATTCAACTCATGGTTTTATTATCTAAAGCAGGGCTGGCCAGGTGGACGACCTCTGGGAGGACATGGTCCTCAATCTCTCCTTAAGCCCTACAGCTTCATAATGAGAGTAAGGCGGGTTTAATTAGTTTTATAATGAGCCTGCTTGTTGAAGGTGACACATAGTTGAACACATAAACACAAGATATGGCTTGCAAACAAGAAATAAATTAAACTAAAGAAAGTAACTCTCCCTTTGGTTGCACTAATACAATTTGTAATTGCAAACTGTGAACAGGATAGCTTATTTGGACAATCTCTGGCTTTATATTAGCAAATGATTAGAACATACAAAAAATCACGATGGCCTTAATACACTAAATAAAAGTATTGTTTTATTGTTTGCTGTATAACAGCTGTATCACAAAGCAAATAGAACTAAACTGTGTAAAAATCACTGTATTTATACCTGAAACCTGTGTTTGACAGTTGGATTAATTTTAACTGAATTATGAATCTGCCTCTATCTGGATTTTAAGTTTGACTCAAAATACGCATGTAGAAATTGAAATTTTTTTTTTTCCATAAGTAAATCCAAGATTATTGCAACTAAAGGAGTAATGCTAATTTTCACAGATATTAAGGAGACAAATAATTTCCTAATTACAGGGATAGTGTAATGTAGTTTACAGTTTTAAACAAAAATACACTCCTCAAAACAAATGACTTCACATGAAAACAACACAATATAACTCAATTCAAAGCAAACTTCTATGAAATCAAACTGTCCAATTAGGAAGCAACACTAATTGGCAATTAACTTCAAATGCTGTTGCACAAATGGAATAGTCAACAGGTGGAAATTATTGGCAATTAGCAAAACACTTAATAAAGGAGTGGTTCTGGAGGTGGGGATCACAGACCACTTCTCTGTACCTATGCTTTCTGGCTGATGTTTTTGTCACTTTTGAATGTTTTTGGTGCTTTCACACACTACTGTAGGTAGCATGATACAGACTCTAAAACCCACGCAAGGTGCTCAGGTAGTGCAGCTCCCTAGGATGGCACAACAATGCAAGCTGTTGCAGGAAGGTTTTCTGTGTCTGTATACGTAGTGTCCAGAGGCTGGAGGACCTACCAGGAGACAAGCCAGTACACCAGAAGACATGGAGGAGGCCGTAGGAGTGCAACAACCCAGAAACAGGACTAGCTTTGCCTTTGTGCAAGGAGGAAAAGGAGCACTGCCAGAGCCCTGCAAAATGACCTCCAGGAGGCCACACATGTGCACTGCCCAAATGGTTAGAAACCTACTGCATGCAGATGGTATGAGGGCCTGACATCCACAGATGGGGGTTATGCTCACAGACCAACACTGTGCAGAACAGTTTGTATTTGCCACAGAACTTTGTCACAGAAGTTCGCCACTGGTGCCCTGTGCTCTACAGATGAAAGCAGGTTAACACTGAGCACATGTGACAGATGTTACAGAGTCCGGAGAAACTGTGTACAGCGATCTGCTGCCTGCAACATCCTTAAGCTTGACCGGTTTGACAGTGAGTCAGTATGGTGTGGGATGGCCTTTCTTTGGAGGCC